CATTTTTGGACGGCCCCGAAGATAGAAAAAAATCTAAACATTCGTCAATAACTTCGTGGCCTTAATAGGAAAAAAATGTGTAAACCGGGTGACGTTTCAGACGATGGCTCTTCACGTGACGCACAAACACGAGATGCCAGTGCGATGGTGGACAAGGGTTGGAGACTGAATTGAGCCGAAGAGGCTCTCATTCAATAGCGGCCACTCTGAGTGTGGCATGGATTAACAACCACGGTGCGTGGGTTTTCTCCAAAGCTCGCTGTTAGGTATGGATGGCCCATTTATTTCTAAAGCTCCGGCTTTGGATCTATTTTAAATACCCCCTCAGCGGTCATGTGGCGAGGTGACGTCTGGAAGTGCTCAATTGGCAATGGGTTGACTGCTGTTTGTAACTTAGATTTCCAACCCCTCATTTATTTCACAATTACATTACATGTATGTACTGTCGTGCCCTTTTTTAGGGTGAAGACCTCAGTGCTTCATTAAAAAATAGTTCTGCTTGACTGGCAGAAGATGGGTATAGTCTGCCAGTAAGAGAGCGATGTGAATAAGTTTTACCCAATTTAAGTACATGTTCATATTTGTAATATTGGGACTGATGCGGCGCACACGTGGCGTACTCCTTTTGAAATAATGTCACAGAAGGCGCTTGGTTTTGATGCTAAAATACACTCGCAGTAATAACCAGGGCGGCCACTAGACTCGAATCTTGAACCTCTGCAGGAAGCGGCTAACCTGCTCCCGCACGGCTATGGCACCACTTGCATAGGATGCACTTAAAAAATATGTATACATTGGTAACGTACCTCGCTTTATTGCCAGCCTTTTAACAAACTATCGGGGCAAATGCTGTGAGCAAACACCGAAATGATGGCCAGAATGACACACGAGTGGGTACGTGGCAAAGGCATGGGAGCCTTTGTCTTCCCAGTGGGGACGTTGGCACACTGCACCAATTACTCATTTAAGACTGAGTCGACCTAGGGGAGGCCCAGGACTGGTTTAATCGTCGCCGCTGTTAGCTGTTGGCAGTGGTGACTTTCGCACGTACGTTTATCACGGTTGGCTACGTATGGTGCAAAAGAAGTTGTATATATGCTGCGCCATAATAATGCGCTGTAGGCAGCTGACCTGCCACCACGCTCACGGGCCAACGGGGCAGCCGAGAGAGAGCGAGGTGCGTAGGAGTTGACTGAAGGTCAACCCCCCCCCCCCCCCCCACCGTGACCGGAGGTTGACACCCCAAACCCCCCGGGGGCTGAGGGGGATGGGGGGCCCCCCACCACTTCCTAAGACTCCTTAAGATTTAAGACCCTCCAAGACCTTCTAGAAGGTTCTGGAGGGAGGGGGGGTCATGAGGGGAGGGGTGACCCCGACCTGGGGATAAAAGGCAGGCCCTCTGGACGGGCCGGAGAGTGTTTGCCAACTCGAGCTCAAAGACATCCGAAGACCTGAAGACTGGACCAGGACCCAGGAACCCTCAACCGAGGCTCGTGTTTAGAGCCGGTTGTAACGGACCCGAGGTATCTCGGACACTCTGGAACCCTCAACCGAGGCTCGTGTTTAGAGCCGGTTGTAGCGGACCCGAGGTATCTCGGACACCCTGGGACCCTCCCCGAGGCTCGTGTTTAGAGCCGGTTGTAACGGACCCGAGGTATCTCGGACACTCTGGAACCCTCAACCGAGGCTCGTGTTTAGAGCCGGTTGTAGCGGACCCGAGGTATCTCGGACACCCTGGGACCCTCCCCGAGGCTCGTGTTTAGAGCCGGTTGTAACGGACCCGAGGTATCTCGGACACTCTGGAACCCTCAACCGAGGCTCGTGTTTAGAGCCGGTTGTAGCGGACCCGAGGTATCTCGGACACCCTGGGACCCTCCCCGAGGCTCGTGTTTAGAGCCGGTTGTAACGGACCCGAGGTATCTCGGACACTCTGGAACCCTCAACCGAGGCTCGTGTTTAGAGCCGGTTGTAGTGGACCCGAGGTATCTCGGACACCCTGGGACCCTCCCCGAGGCTCGTGTTTAGAGCCGGTTGTAACGGACCCGAGGTATCTCGGACACTCTGGAACCCTCAACCGAGGCTCGTGTTTAGAGCCGGTTGTAGCGGACCCGAGGTATCTCGGACACCCTGGGACCCTCCCCGAGGCTCTGGGTAGAGCCGGGGGTTGCAGTGGACCAGGGGCGAGTCCCGTACCCCGAGTGAGTCGCTCGGTCCTGTCTTCCCTTAGAGCCGTGGCGAGGGACCGGCGTGTAGCGTAGCCCGGCGTGCGTAGGACACGCTCGAAGGGGGAGGCCGTCCCTCCCTTAGGCGATCAGGTGGAAGGGGCCCGTACCCCTTCGTGCTACAGTAGTGTTAAATAAGGTTCTAGATTTGAAGCTTTCGTGACTGCAAGGATTCATACTCTTTGTTTTTTTTCTGTAAAGTCACGTAGGTAAAAAAATAAAAATAAATGAAAACCACTACATTAAGTAGATTTGAAGCTTTCGTGACTGCAATGATTCATATTCTTAGGTTTTTTCGGTAAAGTCACGTAGGTAAAAACATTAAAAAGTAAAATGAAATAAAATAAAAAATCACGACGTTTCGGAGGCAACACAAGCGTCCGTCTTCAGGTGTTACCGTCACAGCCACGACAGCTGTATCAAGTAAATGAGAGATTGCAGGAGCTACTACCACCTTCTCCATGACCGTGAGCAAAATATATTCCGTGTGGCAAGTTTCAAGATGGCATTTTTTTTATTTTGACGGCATTGGGAAGTGCAGCCACTGCACAAGCCATGATGTGTAATGTGGCCAGAATAAATAGCAGGAGTGTTGAGCGACCCCGTGGCTCATCTGTCGATGCTTTTGTAACCAAAATGCACGCATTATTGCTCCCCCCCCCCCCTTTAATACTGGTTACGTCTGGAAACGGTAGATATAATGTACTTGCGTATGTTGAACGGTGCGAAAGAAGTTCTGCATACATCTACTCTTTCCAGCCTAACTCCTTGTGATTATAATTAATTGGTTTTTTACCCTTTTATCTGGCAACAAAACTGACACCTTTTATTACAAGGAGTCATGTTTGCATTATCAGAGTTGTGTTTTTGTTTGCATTCCGACTGCAGGTATTGTGGTCAATGCAAACATGACTCCTTGTAAAAAGGTGTCGGTTTTGTTGACGGATAAAAGGGTAAAAAAAACTAATCATATTTTGCTACTGGCAAATGAGGTTCCAATGGTGTAAATCCTTGTGATTAGCCTGCTGCTGCTGTGTTCTTTCGTACTATGTAATACGCCAAGTGCTAAGCTATTACACATTCAACAGTGCTGTTTGTTCCTGGCCGTTTGGCGTTGTTCAGTGCCAAGTGACCGTAGTAAACAAATAAGATGATATTCCTGTATGGCTCCTCGGTGCTACGGTGATGGTGTAAAGGTACTCTGGTCATTGCACGATTTGTTGTCTCTGTAAATAGATGGACAAGCAGGCATGTGACTGGAACGTGCTGGTTCGTAAGGGAAACAAAATGACGAAGGGGCATTTTTTTTCGAATTCGGTAAAAAAAAAACTCAAGAGCTGCAATGCACGTGGTGAATATCAGACGTTGGTCCTTAATAAATAACGTCGCCAAGCAGCAGTTCCTTGTTAAAGGGCCGCAGGTAGCCAACCCCCCTCCCCCCTCCCCCCCGGTGTAGCCAGAGATCTGTAATTGCCACGTATCTCACGGGGGGGGGGGGGGGTGACTTTTTAAAACTTGGAAGTGGGTGAAGGGTGCTGCTGTTAGCACGTTTCTCCGTAGCGTGTAGTTTCAAATCTTGACTTAAAGCTTTCGTCACTGCAGGAATTCATATTCTTTGGGTCTTTCGGTAAAGTCACGTAGATGGGTTCAAAGAAAAGAACCAAAAAAACTAATTAACAATCGGTAGTTTTGTTATTTTCTGTGAACCTGTCTACATGACTTTACCAAAAGACCCAAAGAACATGTGTAGTTTCAAGTTTTTATTTAATTTAACCAGGCGAGAACACGACAGACCCAGGGATGAGTCTCGTCTGCAAGCGTGATACTTGATCGCAGCCCGGGGCTTCTATTTTCTGCTTTTCACGCGATTTGATAACAAAACAAAAAACTAGGATTTTTTTCTTCCAAAATATTTATACTGGAGGAATCTGATTGCGCTATAAAGCTTTCGCAGTTTGATAGCGTAAAGGAACTCTGCATGGTATTGTGGGTATTTTTAATGTTGTAACAGTTTTAAATGGTAGAACTGCAATTATTTAAAGTACTGATTAACCTCGATCGTGTTTTTAAACTTTGTTTTATTTAAATCCTTAACTACAATTACCATTTTTATTAGCCTTGCATGAATCGGATTTTAACGACATAATAAATTGGTGCTATTCTGATTTCGAAGGTATAAATTATTCTAGCTGCCGTAGCCTCGAAGCTCGTGGTTAAATTAATTATTATGTGAGATCATATGCAACGATAGTGCATAGGAGCAGCTATCCTCCAATGCCAAGGTGTTGGATTTAGCCCCTTTGGTTAGGCAGGAGCAATTTTCTGGCTCGACAGTTTCCCAGTCAATATCCCAAGATAAATTTAAAATATTTGACAGGACGACTTAAGTCGCAGCCTTCGTTAGGATTGCTGCTGTTGTTCCGGTAGCAGTAACACCAAAGAATGCTATTCGTCGCAGATGGTAATAAAAATAACTACAGCTTGTTTAGCACCATTCAGAACATCTCCAAGGCGCTTTACATCAATGACAATGGGGGGGGGGGGGGGAAGAAGCGGCGTTAAAATAGGAAACTAACCTTCTTAATGTTTTTAGGTGGTACAGTCCCCTTTTCCTCTATCTGCCTAGGCTGCATCGTCACTGTCGGCTTGTCGAGTTACGTCTTGTTAATTTTTAACTCTTGTAGACAGAATGTAATTGCACTTGCAGAGTGCCGTGCGTGAGCTCGCCGTCACTAAGTTTGTGGTGCGTTCTCTCGCTCTTTCTCTCAATCTGTGCAGTGCTGGCGCCCCGGGCGAACACGTTTGTACAGGTGCTGCGCAGGCTGCCCATGCTGCACGACGAGGCCTACGCTCAGCAGACTCACCTCTATGACCACTACGGCTCCAGCGAGAACATCCTCGTGCTGCCGTGAGAACGCCACACACCAGGGGTCGGGAACCTTTTTGACTGTGAGAGCCATAAAAGCGAAATATTTCTAAATATATTTCATTGAGAGCCATATCGTATTTTTAACGTATAATAAATTAAATATGTCTTACTTTTAATGCGACTTCTGGTGCTGCGTGGTTTTGCTGATGGCCTTGTAGTCTGGTTCATACGTGGTGAGGTTGAGCTTCGTGCAGGCGTGACCCGTGAAATTTATCTTCAAAACTAATTTCTGTTTAGTTTAAAATGACACAGTATTATTAAGCAATATCACAAGTATTTTAAAATCAGTTCCAAACTGATTTTTTATTATTATTATTATTTTTGAACTCAAAATTGGGAGTCATATGCCGTCACTGGAAGAGCCATATATGGCTCGCGAGCCACACACGCTCGCAACGGGCGCACACGCAGCGACATGAACACGCAGACGACAACACGCCTCCTTCGTATAACCCACACGCACACACAAGGCTGTGTTCGCCTTTTGGCATACTCTCTGGTCTAGCACTGGTTGAGACTTGGCTCTAAAGAAGGCTGTCTCTGGTGTAGACCAATCCGTTTCAAAGACGATGTATCATATTACCAGAGCATGTTTTTGTTTGCATGATCACCACAAGTATGTGTGGTTGATGCAGACATGATTCCTTGCAAAAGGTTTCTGTTTGGTGTTTGAAACACTTTAACGCCTGTTTTATTGCCAGAAAGGGTAAAACCTTCTTATTAAAACATCCATTGTTTTAAACATCCCATCGACCAACATGGCCTTCTGCTGCAAATACATGACGCAGGATTGGTTCAACACAAGGGAAACTCTCGCGCTTAAACCACCCAGCTTCGCTTATATTCTTTGATGCTTAATATTTTTGCATGTACGAAGACTAACGAGCTGAAGTTTTCTACAGACTCTCCTCACGTGACGGTTCAAGATTGCATTAAAACCGGTTCAGGTCCTGACCATCGTGGCCCGATTCGTTGTTTTATTTAAACTTAATTTGAATAATTAATCCTCGTGCACCTGACCCACACCTTTTTGAAATTTCGAATAATTGCACCCAGTTTCAAGGGCAAACGTCTCGTCCAATCGGAGCGGCTTTTGCTGGTCAGCCTATGACCAATGAGGAGGCCGCGTCTATCACCGCTCGTCATGGCGCCGTAGCGCCGCTGTGGCTGCCCCCTCTGCCTTGGCACGAGACGAACAAGTACAACATTAATAATAATTACTACTCTTGCTATTCTTAACACAATTACCTACTTTTAATCGTTATAAATAGCGTTTTCATTTGCTTAGCAAACGCCCCTTCTGACACGCTGAGGGCGGCATGGTTATGCACAAGTTGCGTGTGCAGCTGAACCATGATCACGATTTAATTTAATCACCGTCATGTTATCGCCAAAATGTTATAATTATGACTGCTGATATAACTCCTTTTAAATTAAAGTGCTGCCTCTGCACGTTCCATACCCTGTCGCAATATATACCCTGCTGTGCGTACACACGCATTGTTATAACATTGCAGTCCATGTGTATTATTTTCCATCGTGCATACTCTCCAGTACCGAACGATCGCAAACACAAGCGCGCTGCACATCTCACCGTCCCCTGAATGTCATTCCACTCCACCATCGTATAGCAATGTGCATGCTTGCCAATTACTAAACTGCTCCTAGGCTAGACATCATTGCCATCTCTGCACGCTCACAACATTGGTTCCACTTCGTGCGCAGTCGTCGGCGGTTGGTAAACACGGCCCCGGCCATGGCAATGTGCAATTTCCACTGGTCGAGATGAGCACCGCACAATGCCCATAAGAGCGTTAGGGACCTGTCCTTCCACTGCTGGATGACGGCCTCCACACGCCATGCTGGTTGCGGAGGCTGTTTGACGATAACTCGCCTGCCCAATGGTCAGTGCGGGTTGCTAAAGGTGGGCAGCATAGACGTGTAGTACAACTGCATATAAACACAACGTGCCCCCACCAGCCCTGTGACAACCTGCTTGTGCATGGTGAGCACCCCTCCAGCCACTGTCCCCCACTCAGATCTGCTTTACTTTTGAGGGTCCAAACAGATCGGCCACATTCCAAGCAAGTCGGGGTGATTTCTTCATAGACCTTGGGTTATAGCTGTTCTTCACAGTTAACATCATGCAGTAGTGAGATCACTACTGTATGACTTATTGTAAAAAAAGGTGTCAGTTTTGTTGCCAGATAAAAGGGTAAAAAAACAATTATCATATTTTTTCTTCTGGCAAATGAGGTTCCAATGGTGTAAATGCTTAACCCGAGCTCTCATACTCTGATGATGCATTGTCTTTGAGTTGTGCGCCTTTTGGCGTCATCTAGTCCAACACCATGTGAGACAAGGCTCTAAGGCAGGGGTCGGGAACCTTTTTGACTGGGAGAGCCATAAAAGCCAAATATTTCTAAATATATAGCATTGAGAGCCATATAGTAATTTTTAACGTATAATAAATTAAATATGTCTTACTTTTAATGCGACTTCTGGTGCCGCGTGGTTTTGCTGATGGCCTTGTAGTCTGGTTCATACGACGTGGTGAGGTTGAGCTTCATGCAGGCGTTGAGGCCCCGTGACCCGTGAAATTTATCTTCAAAACTAATTTCTGTTTACTTTAAAATGACACAGTATTCTATGGGAACCTCATTTGCCAGTAAAAATATGATAATTGGTTTTTTACCCTTCTATCTGGTCCAACCCATGTGAGACTAGGCTCTAAGGAAAGCTGTCTCGGGTGTGGACCAATCAACTTCAAGGACAGTGCACATTATCAGAGTTATGTCTTTTTGTTTGTATTATGACTGCAGGTATTGCGGTCTATGCAAACATGACTCCTTGTAAAAAGGTGTCAGTTTTGTTGCCAGATAGAAGGGTAAAAAAACCAATTATGACACAGTATTATTAAGTAATATCACAAGTATTTAAAAATCAGTTCCAAAATTTTATTTTTATTTTTTTTCAACTCAAAATTGTCTGGGAGCCATATGCCGTCACCAGAAGAGCCATATATGGCTCGCGAGCCATAGGTTCCCGACCGCTGCTCTAAGGAAAGCTGTCTCGGGTGTGGACAAATCAACTTCAAGGGCAGTGCATACATTATCAGAGTTATGTTTTTTGTTTGCATTACGACTGCAGGTATTGTGGTCTATGCAAACATGACTCCTTGTAAAAAAGGTGTCAGTTTTGTTGCCAGATAAAAAGGGTAAAAAAACAATTATCAGTAGTGAGATGGTTACTACCTCGTCTGGTATATAGGAGGGCCTGGGTTCCATCCTAACACGTGTACATATTTCCCGTTTGCATGTTCTCTCTGCCCCTGTAAATCGCTTTTAAAAATTTGCATATGCGTGAACAGAGACTAATGCTACTTCCATTTCTTTACTGAACTTAAACTTTACATAAGCTTACTGTATGCAAATGACCAGATTTTACGTTCAAGTCTTTACTAAGGTCACCACCTGTGGGACTAAAACATAAAAAGGTTACAATGCCTCACCGTACAATACAACACGTTGTTTTAACAATAATGCTACAACTTCACTCTCCCCTTCTGCATTGCCAATTTAAAATAACAATTTCCTGCTATGACCGTTGCCAATCAATTATTTTCCTTTCATATTCCGTAGCTGTCGAAAATAGCATTTTAAACGACACAAAGAGTGGTTAAACAAGTTTTTCAATGCACATACTTTTATTTGCACTCAAATAGAAAGAAAATTCCTTTAACCCCAGATTTAATCAAGTGATGTGCTCAATTGTGGATGGCTTGCATAAAGAAAAAAGAAACGTCACAAAAGGAAGCAAAGCATATTTATTTAGCACTTCAAATGTTATTTCTATATGGGGTGAAAGGAATTTATTTTCTACTTGTGAGTGCAAACAGCCAATCGGTAAAAAATGTGTCGCGTTGGCAAAAGACAAATAGTTCACTACTTGAGCCCACCGGTGTGTTCAAGAGTGAATCTACAACATTTACAGTTCGAGTAGTTCGGCTTTTTGCTGGAAATTACATCCAGCATCTTCGGGCGATTTGCTAGAATAGTGAAGCCATCCATCTGCCTCTGGTCTTTAATAGTGCAGGATGACGTCATCAGGTTTCGAGATCACAGGCAGAGGTGTGGGTGGGGTGTATGCTATTATGTAAATCGATCAGTAATCAGCCACTTGTGACTCGCCTTGTAAGGAATTTAAATGTTTTATTACTTGATACGCATCCAGGCTGCGCCAAGTCTATAGCTATCACAGCGGTTGAAATTATTTGAATTCTTAATTTCGATTGATTGACTAATCTTGGCCAGTAATAATTAGTTCTGCATAACACTTCAACGTTATCAAAATCAATTGAATGCCCTTGTTGGCAAGCATGCTCTGCCACTGCTGACAGCTGTGTTTTGGATAATTTAATGTGCCCTTGGTGTTCTTTTAGTCTTACGCTAATGTTACGTCCCGTCTGTCCAATATAACACTTGCCGCATAAGCAATTGATCCGATGAACACCTTCTACCGCTACGGCATCCTGCTGAGTGCGATTGATTTTCGATTTGTTTTAGGTCCATGGACTGAGAACTGGCTTAGAGTAACGGAATTCTGTCCCTGTTGAAAGTTCCAGCGCACTTGGAAGCGAAATGTCAGACATCGTGTCCGAGAACACACGGTGCAACCCGAAAAAACACATTGGAGAGAGCCAATTTGTTTATTTTTCCCATTACCCCCCCTCCCCCCTCATGATAATTGGAATAGTGGCATTGTGGATGTTTGGTTGATCTTCTTGGTTCTTTCGGTAAAGTCGCGTAGAATGGAAATAATAAAATAATAAAAGTAAAACATAATAAAATAATTCTCACGACGTTTCGGCCACAACGCAAGCAGCCGTCCGAAACGTCGTGAGAATTATTTTATTATGTTTTATTTTTATTATTTTATTATTTCCATTCTACGTGACTTTACCGAAAGAACCAAGAAGATGAATCCCTGCAGTCACGAAAGCTTTAAATCGAGATGTTTGGTTGCTTTGCTGCTGTGAACACGGGGACATTCTCTCCTCCACTGGAGTGATGCCAAGGGGAAGGCACGTCAGTCTGCATATGATTGGTCTTCATACAAAGCCAGGCTTAGCTGTGGCCCCTTAAAACCTCTATTGTGTGTATGTATAACAAGAGATCCATTTACAAAGGGGCTTCTTTTCCCTTGAGCGGTTTGTTTCAAATTGCTTTGGTGCCACATTCCACGGCGTAGCAGGGAATTGGGGTATTGATTAAGCATGCGTTTTGCATGATAAATACGTGCCGGTAGTCGCCGGCAGTTCCCGGGTTGCTGCCGTGCTCTGGGGTTGCCAAGCTTTGCTTAACGAGCGCGCGGTGCGATGGCGCGCACGCCAGGGCTGTGTTCCAAGAAGCCCCGTCCTCTCCCATCCCTGCCACTGCTGCAACCTTGCCGTGTTAAGTTTATCAGAATATTTGATACTGGAGGAATCGGATGCGCTATAAAGCTTTGTTTGTCACGGATAGGGGCGGGTAATAACGTTACAAACAACACAAAAACACGATGGTAGTGCCAAGTTCAAGAAGGGTAAGCCTATCGCCCAAAAACATACAAAGTACAACGAAGCCATTCTCATCGGGCAAAGTTCACCTGAGGTATGAACTTATGTTTCAGAAGCGACCTGGCCACAAATGATAGCTCGACAAAGTGGCTTATCATTTGGACATTTAAAGCATTGCAATAAAAAGTGCCGTTACGAATCTAATTGAGATGGTAGATGATACCCGCTTACCGATTGCGCCGATTTTAGAGCCGGAATCAGGAGTCTATAAGGGGGTAACCTCCATTTGTATTTTTTGCTGATTGACTATTGCAAAGCCTCGTTCTTTTGGGGGGGGTCCAGAGTAAGGTCCTGGTCAGGTTGCAGACGGCAGAATGCGGCAGCCAGGGTGCTTGCGCACGTCCCGTCGCAGCGAGAACTCCATTGCTCATGTCCTCACTTCATCGCATTGGAATTTAAGATAACGTTGCTCGCATGTAAGGCCTTGGTGAGGGCTTGCCTCCAATCTTTATTTGAAGCTTTCGTGACTGCAGGAATCCATACTCTTTGGTTATTTCGGTAAAATCACGTAGGTAGAAAAAAATATAGATCACGACGTTTAGATTGCAACACAAGCGCTTGTGTTGCAATCGATTTTATTTCTAACTACGGGACTTCACCGAAAGAACCAAAGAGAGTGGCTTTCCTCCACTTTACATTCGGAAGCTAATTCGATCTCATCTTTTGGCGCATGGCCCTTAAGAGAGACCTGTTGATGTGATGCCCCTTTTATGCACGTGCCTTCCTAGCTCCGTGACGTTCTTGAGAGTGATCTGACGCTTCCTGTTGCGGCCCCCCAGCTGTGTGACTCCCTTTACCCGTGGCGATGGGGCTGTCGCCAACAGTGCTGACGTCCTTTTAATCCCCTCTGTTTAAAAAAAAATATATATATATTTGCCCTCAATAATGTTGGTCCTCCTTTGGCCTTTATTCTGCCACCCGATGCTTTATTTATTGATGCCTCTTTTAATTCACGCTGCCTTGAGCCTTTTTGTGAAACACGTGTTTTATCGGTGCAGATTATTACGATTACATTATTATTCAACACTTGGTTGGCTTTGGACCAAATATTATCCATAAGGGTTTTTTTTTTTGGTTCGATCTCGTAAATATAAATGTGTCGTTAAACCCGCCACCACCCGACACAGCCAATTAGTGAGGTTTTTCATGTTAACAAAACATGGCAATTAGCTACTAGTTCAGCACACCAGTGTTTGGAGCGTAAACCCCCACAGCATTTAAAATGCTTGAAAAACTTGACCTAATTTGCTGCGTCGGGTGGTGGCGGGTTTAACGACACATTTATATTTACGCGAGCTAACTGAACTTTTCTGGAAACCTTATTATTCATGCAGCGGTGTTTACAATAACAGTATTGTTCCTTTTGAGTCGAGTGCCTCCGTTGAATGCCTGTCATTGAACCGCATTTAATTGGGCTGCACAAGCGGAGCCAACCGATTCAAAATGGGCGTGGTGGTGGGGGGGTCTGCTGCCGCTAGCTTTTCATCTGCCCTCTCTCCGTCGTTCGTGCTTTCTGTGGCACAGGCTGTCCAAGCACCACAAGCGAATCGTTTACACGGTGCTGGAGTACAGCCCGCTGCTGGATTCGTGCAACATCACCACGGATGACTGGGCCGTCATCGCCAAGGACATCGAGGTACGTCGCCAGGACCGCACTCGCGAGGGGCGAACGGTCCATGAGGCAAATGCCTGGTGGGCCAGTCCATTCTGAGGGCCGGTGGGCCGGTCTGTCAGGGAAATAGCAAATGTGATCAGAATAATTTTTATATATTTTTTATTTAAATATGTTGTTACCTCATGTGTGTGTGCTTCATTGCTGATTTATGCTCTCAATTGGCATTAAGTCCCCATATTTGGCAGTCTCAAAGATTCTTCCTCACCGGCCCATTTGTTCTTTGGACCTAGCCCAAATGGACCAATGAGATCGCGCAGCAAAATCGCACTAGTACGTCACATGGTAAATCTAGCTACTCGTATTCAATTTGTGTTGCACAACCCATTTTAACAAAAAAAGTATATTGGCCATAGCCCGAATTTGGGCCAGTGTTCACATGCCCGAGCCGATGTTTAGTCCCAGTCTGTCACTGCACGCCGCTCCTCCGCTGTGGCCTCGCGCGGTGCGATATCGTCACGCGTCGGGCCGACTGCGATTGCAACGGTCCCCCAGGGCAAGCAAGATTATAGGGGCCAGAAAAGTGGCACAAAGGCCCCCCCCCCCGCCCATGTGAGGGGCTATGTGGGCCCGTGTGGCATTATACAGGGACCTTGAAGTATTTCGAGGGACACAGAATCGCTTGTGCAGTGTAACCCTGCAATGCTAATTGATGGAAATTTGCATCGCAGACGATACATGGTTTCCTGTAGTAGCAATTGCAGTTATTTTAAGCATAAATGCTCGTTTGTTCTGTTTTACCTCCATTCCAATAGACTAATAACCCCGATATCAAATGCATTTCTAACTTTTACCCTGCCCCCCCCGCCAATTTTATTCTGTGCTGTGGGGTGTCATTTCGTGAAACGATTTACATATTCGGAAATCTCTCTGAGCAGCATTTCGCCCCATACAGACATCAGTCTGCAGAAGGAGACGTCGCAGAACTGCTTGTGAAATCCCCTTTCAAGTGACCTGTTAATATCTACACGAGGGGGTGGAATTTTTCCCTCCCACCCTGGGACAGGGAGAGACGATTGTTGCGTTTGCCAGCCAGGCTGATATTTGTTATTATAATCGGAGCTGTATTTTAGCAAGTTTATTATGATGGTTATGTGCAGTCATTCGTGTCTCCAGATGAGACGATATATTCTCTGCACTGGAATTTTGCTTAATCGTGTGCAAGTTAGTTTTTTTTGTCCGCAGTTGCTGAGTAAAGGCTCAGTGCTCCAATACAATAAGAGACCAGAAACAACCAGCACGAATAATTCTAGATTTGAAGCACGAATAACTTTGTATAGACAAGAGCTCGTACGTTTCTTGTTTGAACATATTTTGATATTATAAGTATTTGTGAAAAGTGATTATGGAAGGGAATTCCAAAGTCAAACAAGTGTGAAGGAAGATGGCAGGAGTTGATTTTAGATTCCACTGATGGGTGAGAATACATTATTTAAACCTGTCCTTGTGTGTGCCAGTGCGTTTTGCGGGAAGCGGTCGTGCAACGGTTGGTTACCATTCTGCTATGAACCTGGCGACCTGGGTTAAGATTCTTGCTCACGGCCAACACCAGTTAATATTTATCTGAATGGGTCCTGGGCCTCCCCTAGATCGACTCAACCTCAGAGTCATCCCAACTGTCTATTTAAGGCAGTATGGGGGAAACTTAACCTTTGTGCGTTTTGTCCCCATGCAGAAACACTACAAGGCCTACGATGGCTTCGTTGTTCTGCACGGCACCGACACGATGGCATACACGGCCTCGGCCCTCTCCTTCATGTGCGAACATCTGGGCAAGACCATCATCCTCACCGGTTCGCAGGTGGCCACTCACAGACGCGACGGCCCTGCCGTCTGGCTGCTGTTGTTCCCTGCCACTTTGGGGGGGGCAGCTGCTATCAACTTTTGAAATCCTTTCCTTGCTGCCGTGGCCAAATGTTAACTTCCTCGCCTGGTGTGCAGGAGGTCGTGGGTTCGATCTGGACCCTGGCGACTGCTGCTGTATATTTGGAGTTGGCGTGGATTTTTCTCTCGGGTCCTCCTGTTCCCACCATCATTTAGAAACATGGCTTTTAAAGTATTTGGCTGTTATAGATTTCCACATGATGAGCTATCATTTGTGGCCAGGTTGCTTCTGAAAAAGAGCTGTATAGCTCCGTGGACCTTGCCCTGTAAAATAAAAAGTATATTTTATTTTTCACAGACCGAAATTACTTCACTGCTGCCGCCCATGCCTCTAAATCCCTGTTAATACAGTCCTTTTTTTAAAAGTTTTGGTCTGCTTTGACATTCTTTCTCCTTGTCAGATTCAATTGTATTATAGATTTAACTGCCAACCCTTGTCAAGGCTAGGCGTGAGTGGAATTTGGTTTCTGTCCCGATAGCCTTTGGCAATAATCGGTTCTCCCGCAGTCGGCAAATTCACGTCAACAGCTGATGTTGCCGGAGTGATTGGGGGGTCGAGACAGGCATGCTTAACTTGTGTATTCTCTCTGTGCACCGCCATGTAAGATCTTGCAAGCCTGTACAGGTACCGCCATCTGAACAAGAAAAGAAGGGGCTTGGTTATTTGTGAAAATATCATCTGTAATATTGCAAATAATTTCCCTCCTTGTAACTACCTACTGAGATGCTCCTGAGACCATGTTGCCCCCTATTGCAATGTAAAACTTGGGGTGAAGTGTTGATGAGAGAATAATAAATCTCCCAAAGGAGATTGGAGCAAATCGGGTGTTCATTCTTTGTGCAAATTTCAATTGACGCTATTGCACAAAATTGACTTATTTGGCTGTTTTTGGCCAGGGTGGCTCAGCCGCGGAGCTGAGCGAGTTTCTCTCGATGGGAAATCCTGGTTGAGGGCGGATTGACTTGTTCCCCCTGCCATAGGAATGTGGAATGGTCAACTGCCTCGATGCTCATTTGAGCAGAAAAATCACTGACCTGAAAAGAATGACAAATCATCGCTTCCTGGATTGTGCACAAACCGCATCAGTCCAGAGTACAAGTGGTGGGAAAAAAAAAATGCATCAATAGAGAAAATGTTTAAGTGACATTTCGGGCATTTGCCCTTCTTCACATGGCCACTTTTTTACGAATGGATTTTTTTGTTAATTGTGTTTGTACTCGACTGCCAACACGGCAACATCGCCACGTAATTTGTGAAATAGTGAGGTACTTGTTGAAAGACGTTCAAAACGTGATTCGGAATGCAAGATAAATATAATGATCTGGAGATGATTACAATTTAATCAGGACATGCAGGGAACAGAGCTCTATTTCCGGCTTAACACTGTGCGTCATCGCTGCTGTTTATGAAACAGATTGGATTAAATCCCTGGCCCATCGTCACCATTTAACAAGTCAAACTGGTATAGCCTGTCTGTCCGTCTGTAAACTGTGATTAAACGTCGCCTGATATTTTGCCATATTAACATTGCTCACGCACGAGGGAGAGTTGTGGGTCATACTGCCTGGGGGAAGGAGGAGTAGCGGCTAGTGTTGTCCTATGCTACGGACCCGTCTGCCCGAGTTTGATTCCAAGCCACGGTCAACATTGCAATAATTGTCGCGTTATTGCATGAGTGTACGCCACGTGACAATTTGATTTGGCTGCGTCGCGCGGTGGCGCGTTTTGCAACGGACGTTTGACTAGGTCGTCACTACGTGACTTGACCGCAAAGAAAAAAATCGTTGAATCTTAAGTTTTAATGTTTCGGTTTAAATTAACGATGGCTCAGTCCTCTCCTTGCACGCAGGTGCCCATATTTGAGATGCGGAGCGATGGCAGAGACAACCTCCTGGGAGCGCTGCTCTTCGCGGGACACTTCGTCATCCCAGAGGTGAGGCCGCCCCCCCGTCTCCCCCCCCCCCCCCCCCCCCCCCGCTTGGTCGAGAGAGCGTCTTCGTGGTGCCAACTCTCTTATTTATCCTGCGAATATGTGGATATTTTTTGAGCCTGGTGTCAGGTGCGCGTGGTGAGTGGTTAGTGTAGCAGGTTAGCGCACTTGTCTGGAGCAGAGATGAGAAATAAGGGCCATTCCTTTTTAAATCCTTTATATTAAGTTCGCTTGCTTGCTTGCTTGCTTGCGTGCTTGCTTGCTTACAACCGTGCAAATCTTTCGGTCGTTTTTTAACCCACTTCCCGTGATCCAATCGAGCTGACATTTTCCACACAGACTCGTTGTGTGTGACAATTAATTTTCGTAAAAATTTTTTCCAAAATTTTACACTGTTTAGGGAAAACAAATTAAATATTTAATTACCAATTGCTTAATACTGGCAGACAATCATCTGCCCATAGATTGCAGCCATCTCAAACCAGAGGACGAGAGAACTCTAGCCGCCACGCATATAAAGGATTTAGAGTGAAAAACTTTGTTTTTACGGGTTTACTTGTTTAATGTTACGGTGCAAACTATCCCAACGGAACGTTGTTAACCAATTGCCTGCGATTGGCGTTCCCGCAGGTTGGGCTGTACTTCCATCACAAGCTGTACCGTGGCTGCCGTGTCACGAAGGTGGACGCGGGAAGTTTCAAGGCGTTCCAGTCGCCCAACATGCCGCCGCTTGGTAACGCGCAAGTCGACATGAAAGGTATCCACTCCTCGGGGGGGGGGGGGGGGGAAGCCCTGGGCACTTGCTACGTGTTCTGTTGGTAAAGGTCACCGGTGTATATGATGCGTGGGTAGGTCTTCTAGAAGGTGATTAATAATTTACTCTTGGTGAAGCCGGTCCGCCATGCCCCCTGCTCCCGTTGTGAAACCTTGCGAGGGGCGGGGACAGGTCGGCTAAAACGGACAACAATCTATATATATAAAATCGTGCATGTCTGTCTGTCTGTGTATGTGTGTGTGGATTTCGGACCATACGCACTTTCATTGGACGGCGGTTGCCCCTGGCAACGGCTAACGACGCCTTCGCCGCTTTCATTGGACGGCGGTTGCCCCTGGCAACGAGTAGCAACTTTTCGCCGCGGGGTGGACGCCATTTTTAATAGCGCGGGGGGGAGGGGGGAACGGCACCCGTACCCAGCGTTCGCCGGGTGGGAAAATCAGGCAAGGCGGGAGGCTCTGCACGGTGCTAGGCCTCGACACCCAAAACGCCACTCTGAGGTAAATTCATACAAATTTCACGTCCTCTACAGAGTGGCGAGGGAGGCAGAGTGGCGAGGGAGGCAGAGTGGCGAGGGAGGGAGAGTGGCGAGGGAGGGACTCAGCCTCAAAACGAGTAACTGGTGTGGCGTATTAACATCGCCACTGGGGAGACAAAGGCGGCCGGGCGTGGTGGATCCAAGTCTCGGGCGAAGCCGGGTCATGTGTATGTGTGTATGTATGTGTGTATGTATGTATGTGTTTGTATGTTTGTGTGTATGTATGTGTGTGTATGTGTTTGTATGTGTTTGTGTGTTTACGCTCGCATTACACAAATGTGTTGCAGGTCTAAGGCGTTCCTCGCGCAGCATTGCCGCTTTATTATTGCAGTCGTTTACTGCCATACGCACCCTGACAGTCGTGTGTGTCTGCAGCAAGCGCGTGTATGTGTACCTATGGACGCGCGCGCGCGTGTGTGTAGGGGGAACGGTAGTGTAGTGCTTAGCGTGCTGTCTGTGTCTGTGTGTGTGTGTCTGTGTGTGTGTCTGTGTGTGTGCGTATGTGGTGTGTGGGGAGCGGTAGTGTAGTGCTTAGCGTGCTGTCTGTGTGTGTCTGCGTGTGTCTGCGTGTGTCTATGTGTGTGTGTCTGTGTGTGTGTCTGTGCGTCTGTGTGTGTGAGAAGCGGTGGGTGTAGTGGTTAACGCTATGCTGCGCTACCAACCCGGCGAACCGAGTTCGATTCCCGCTCATGGCCACCACCGGTGACGATTATTTGAACCTCCCATAGGTCGACTCAGCCTCAAACGAGTAACTGGTGTGGCGTATTAACATCGCCACTGGGGAGACAAAGGCGGCCGGCCGTGGTGGATACAAGTCCCGGGCGAAGCCGGGTAGTACAGCTAGTAAAAGATAAAGTTGGCAGACCATGAGTAGTGACTCTGCATTTGTGTCATGTCCTCCGGAGAAGTGGGTGACCCCGCCCACAGCGGCTGAGCTGCACCCAGAGGGTTTGTGAAACAGCAAAACTTTTATTTCAAAAGTCCTCTTCAGAAGGGCAGTGACGTATCTGCAGTAGCGATCAGGGACACACTCTCCATGTCACAACACCACAGCTGAATCCCTTGGCACCAAGTCCGCCCAAATCTAAACTGTGGGGGGCGTACCTCGTACTCTGCCGTGCACGTGGGGACTTGGTCCAATCCCTGATCACCGTCGCATTCACTTAGAACAGTAATAATAATACACCAAATCTGTTCACCCGTAGCTATGCTAAATGGTTTATTATGTTCCCGTACGCTTCAGGGGTGCACATTTAACAAGTGTGATTTTAATCACGGGTGAGCTCACACCGGCTACATTGAGTTTGGCCTCATGGAGAGGGAATGGCTAAATTAAATAGTCGCAGGTGTATGACCGTTTTTAACGACGCGCCCGTTATGGTTGCAAGTTGGAGTGCAATTGTGAATTTGGTTGTGAGAATTGTTCTTCCAACTTAGCGGTAAGCAGACATTCTAATATTCAGCACGTTAAACGCACGTGCACATGGCAATTTAATTTCTTGTGGCTGTGCTGGGTGATGGAGGGCTTCGCAATTTAACTTGGGCACATCATTACTACAAGGCATAACCAAAAAATCAACTTTGAATGATCAAATATGCCTAACCAAAAAAAATCTACCTTGAATGATCAAATATGCCTTTTGCTGTCCTCTTCTGAATGGAGATGAAGTGCTTTGGACTTGCACCGTAATTCATGCAAATGGAACACATTTCTAGTGTCCTTGGGAGTTTCCTCGTGTTATTTTTGTTTCCGCAAGCTCTGTGGCAGCTTTAGTTTCTTCTGCCAATCTGTTAACAAGCTCCCCTGATAGAATACACAGTAATAATTATTATAAATAAAAAACACTTGAAGCCAATAAATACAACCTGAAACAACACTCAAGTAGAACGTGTAATGTAGTGTGCATTCGTAGCATGCCTTGTGTTGTATGCATGGCATGCCTGTGTGTAAATGGGTTTAACTCGGTTTGAGAAATTTGGGTAGTGTTATTTTATGGTGTGGTTTAATTGCCGTGTGTGAGCATTTTGAAACGGATACCACGAATGTGTTTTTGTCTTCGATTTATATTACGCGCACACATTTTATACTGTACAGCTCTCTGAAACCGCTTGGTTTTTTGTTGCACTAAGGATACATTTTTAAAATAATCACTGGCCATAACCCAAACTCTCGTGAATGCATTCCTTAACCTCCCATTGGTTTACATTGCATGAGCTTCCAATTGTCTGACATTTCATAACCTCGTGCTATCCAAAGAAAACACTCCTTCCCCACACTGTCAGGCACTGACAAACGTTGCGTATTTCCAATATATGTATAAACATTGAACTTCTTTTGCATCCTACATAACCAAACCGTGCTAATTGGAGGTACGGGAAAGGCTAATGCCAACTGGATGGCCACGTGCAAAGCAAAATTTTGGTTGTGCCCACTTTACTTTGTTTTCCTTACCAGAAGTGATTTTTTGAGAAAAAATCAAACCAGGGGAAGTTCCTCAAGCGTTGCGGTCAGACGGGGTTGGATGGGGCAATACGTGGGGTGAAGCGGAACGGAGTAGCTGGGGTCCCACATGGGGTTGAGGGGGGGGTAGTGAATGATAACAGTGGGAGAGGCATAGTCGGAGGGATGAGCGACCCTTTTGGAGTGTTGGTGACGGGAGTCAAATGAGGGTCTGCTTGAGGTTGGGTGACTGACTCATGGTGGCGTATGCTGAGGCGGACGTTTTTCTTTTTTAAGAACGTGTTCATTTTGGAAAGGGTATTTTAAAAATGTTTCACACTAGAGCTGTAACAATGTCGGCAGCGTGCCGTAGTTTTTGTTCTAATTCTACTGTCAGGAGTCCTCTTCAACGGCCATGCTCTACCCACTGCTGGATGAAGGGCTCCCCAATCCTGCGCCAATAGAAGCGTGCGCCAGTTGTTGGGAGGTCAAGCGAATGATTCTGACCGAAAATCAGCCTGTTAGGAAATCTTTCCTCTAGTAAAGCGTTAAGGAAACACGCTGCTGTGGTGTCGGGAGCAGTAGCACGGGCTCAGTGTTGGTGTGCTCGATGGAATGATCCAAAACCTCATAATTCAGACTCATGATCCTGCCCATACCCGAGCATGGAGTGCATTCGCTTGTTCGGCTCTTCTGCGCATTCGTCCTCGCTGCTGCGCTTGGACGACGTGACGACAGAATAATCCGCGCCACGTGGGTCGCGGTGTTTATGTGCGCCGTGGACGGAGTTGCCAAAAGTAAATCAATTAACGATTTTGACTCCTGTTTATTCGGGACCCCGGGGTCCGGCCATAAGGTTCACTTGCACCAACAGTCTAAGGCTACACTGTGGATCTTTGTGTTTGTGCGTGCGTGTGCTTGCAGTCACCTGGGAGGAGGTGTGGAGATCCAACACGACGCGCCCGTTCCGCGTGCACACGAACATGAACCGCAACGTGGGCCTCCTGCGACTCTTCCCCGGCATCACAGCCGCCACGGTGCGTTCTGCAGGACCTCGGCTGCGTGCCACTGCTGTGCGGCGCGAGCCAGTGATGCCGACTGCGAGAGCGAGGCTTATAAATTGACAACTACATTTTTAAAAACAAATTTCTGTGCTTAGTTTGTCTTTCCAACGCACCTGCAATTTGCATGGTTGGCGATGTACGGTGCGAATGAAGTTGAACGTTATATACGGACAGGGTTGCCACTTTCCACTGCAGACCAAACCCGGACATGTTTCTCGGTGAGCCTGGGTCCATCATCAAACCTGTGCAGAATTCTGCGATGATGATTAACTCTACCGGTTCTGGTTCTCGGTACAAGATCAATTCCTGCCACCCAAAACCCGATGCCAATTTTCCAGACTGCCCGAGTTTGATAGTTGGCAACTCAAGACAGAACGGTAGCGATTCATCACCATCCTTGCTCACAACTCAATACTTATTGGAGATTGAGCTATTTGAACAAAATTGTGTTTTTTTATTATATTTTTGTCTGATTAGGTAACAATACATGATTCTAGATGGGCCGGTATTATGGCAATACAGAGCTGTTGCCAACTGCACTTTGGCTTGGCACACAGCAGCGTGTCATCAAAGCCAAGATTAAAGGATAGTGGCTGTTCTGGGAGCCGAGGCTTGTGGGATGAGAGAGACCTCTTCCTTGCAGGCAAATTACATCGCTACTGTTGGCTACATACGGTGCGAAAGAAGTTCTACATACGTACAGGAGGGCTGGTGTGCGTCCAGCCACAAATGTTTTCCTTTTCAGGCAGTTGAAAAATCAACCGACGATTCGTTTCGCAACTCTGAGTCTGGTAATCAAATAGCATCAGGAGTTTCTTGATGTATAATAATAATAATGCAAAGCGTCCGTGCCCCCACCTCCCCACCTCGTGTAAGCGTATAACAGGCAGTGCTTGATTACGTGATGTGTGAATGTGGTTATCTGAACCGCATTTTACCCCGGGGGACTCTCTAAATTTCTAGCATCTGTCAAGGAGATATCCGCAGCTTTCTTTCCACCTATCTGTTATGTTTTACCTACGTGACTTTACCGAAAAAACCTAAGAATATGCCTTGCAGTCATGAAAGCTTCAAATCTAGAATATCCGCAGCTGTTGTGCAGTGATCAAAACGCGAATTAAGCGCTGCGCTTTGTGCAGAAGAAGGCAATCGCTACGAATCCCGTTGATGGCATTTTGTTTTTATATTAAAATGCAATTGGCACTCGCTTGGACGGAATCGTTGGTTACAGCCGCGGAAAAACTAAAATCTGATCGAGGACCCCGACCTGTGGAGGAAGCGGGCGGCTCTCTCCCTCTCTCTGACAGCTACAGACCTCGCTGAACCGCGCTCAAACGCAGCGTGGGAGATGCGCGTCCACCTTCCGCAATTGGAAGAACAAATAGTCGCCGGAACAGCTGCGACCCGCAGTGAAGTCCAAACGGTCAAACGAATCGCCGCCATCTTTGCAACGGTCTTGTTGCTGCGATTCATACCGGCGCCTGCCACTGCCTCCTTGGATTGGTTGAAACAAAAACATTGGCGTTCACCTTTAACGCCGTTTCACGACCGTTGCTCTTCCCTCCTGCTGTTGTACGAAAGCGGCAGAGCACGGGAAAGTAAAATGCGACTGTCTGTGTGCTCGTGCGCCAGGTGCGAGCCTTCCTGCAGCCGCCCATGGAGGGCGTGGTACTGGAGTCGTACGGTACGGGCAACGCGCCCGACAACCGCCCCGACCTGCTCGACGAGCTGCGCAGCGCCACGGCACGCGGGGTCCTCATCGTCAACTGCACGCAGTGCCTGCGCGGCTCTGTGTGCGAGACCTACGCCACCGGCAAGGTGGATACCCCTCTCCTCCCTCGCCGCCGCGTCATCACGCTCGTCGCACGTACGAGTGTGCGTTTATATAATGTGTGCGGGCGCGGCGGCTAGCACGCTGTGCTGCGTTTGAACTTCTTTCGCACCATACGTAGCCAACCGTGCTAGTTGCAGGTGCGAATCCAGAGACCGTAGTTCGATTCGTGCTCTCGGCCGATTATCTGAACCGGTCCTGCGGCTCCCCTATATCGACTCTGCCTTAAATGAGTACCTGGCGTGGTGTGTAAACATTGTCACGAGGGAGGTAATTGTGGCCGGGCGTTGTGCTGGCCCACCCACTCCCTCTTGCCGTACCGGTCCTCGTAGGTGCTTGCTATAACAACAAAACTTGCCCCAAAAGTCGTCTTCAGGATACAGGGGTGCGGTGTGTGTGCCGTGGGTGACGATCTTCTGCCACTCGCCTCGTTGACGGTGCGACCTAGGTGCTGAATGACAACGGCGTCATTCCTGGAGGAGACATGACCCCCGAGGCTGCCCTGGCCAAGCTCTCCTACATCCTGGGGAAGGACAAGCTGAGCTTGAAGGAGCGGCGCGAGGTGGGTACCTCCCCCCCCCCCCCCCCCCACGTTGCTTGCTTCCCACAGCGATTCCGGACAGCCAACGCAGAGCAACTGTATTAGAGATGCAGCTTCCAAGTGACGAGGCCATTCACTTGCTTTGTCTGAGATTTAATGTGTGTGTAACCTGGCGACCCGGGTTCGAATCCTGCGCTCACGGTCAACGCCAGTGACAAGTAGCTAATCTGATCCTGGGCCTCCCCTAGGTCGACTCTGCTTCTGATGTATAAACATCGCCACTGGGGAAACAAAGGCGGCCGGGCGTGGTGCTGGCCATCCACCTCTTGTGCAGTTCTTGCCTTCCATAGGTGCTCGGTAACAGCACTTTCCCCAACATTCTGCGAAGGCTATACAGGAGGGGGGGGTCTTTGTCTTTGTATGCATGTTGAACGTCTTTCGCACCGTACGTAGCCAACCATGCTAATCGTAGGTGCCTGGGAAGGATAACAAACACAAAAAGCAGTTCTAAAGGAATCGGGTTTAAATCTATATTTAAAAGTGGCTTCATAATATCGAAAATAAAAGTGTTCCATATGGCTGCAGAAGCACATCTGAAAGCGTGCGATGTAGTGACTGTCTTTGTTTGACGCCTAGCCAAAAGCCGCTGTGAGGATGACCGGATTTCGCGTGATTGTTTATGGTCCTTGACGAGATCGGCAAGATATTGTGAATTGCAGAACATTATGATCGTACTTGTATCTGGTGCAACCCCACTGACCTGTTGCGTTTACATTTTGTGAGTCGTCATGGCTGCAAGGGAACACGTGACGCGAACTGTTCACCGTTCCGAAAGTTTACGTAACATTTTGTAACTTTCACAAGTCCCGCAGTGCTACGCGGTGGGCACCAGAGGGCAGTGCAGAAAATCCTCTTGGTATCGCACTTCTATGCTCCTCCACTTTCACCAAGATGCACTGCCCCAGTACATAATAATTGGATTATTATCCTTTTATCTGGCAAACAAAACTGACACCTTTTTTTACAAGGAGTCATGTTTTCAAACACCTTTTTTACAAGGAGTCATGTTTGCAAATATGACTCCTTGTAAAAAAAGGTGTCAGTTTTGTTGGCAGATAAAAAAAGGGTAAAAAAAACAATTCTCATATTTTGCTACTGGCAAAGGAGGCTCCAATGGTGTAAATGCTTACCCCGAGCTCTCATACTCTGATGGTGCATTGTCTTTGAGTTGTGCGCCTTTTGGCGTCATCTGGTCCAACACCATGTGAGACTAGGCTCTCAGGAAAGCTGTCTCGGGTGTGGACCAATCATACATTATCAGAGTTGTGTTTTTTTTTACATTCCAACTGCAGGTATTGCGGTCAATGCAAACATGACTCCTTGTATAAAAAAAAAAGGTGTCCGTTTTCTTGCCAGATAAAAGGGTAATAAACCAATTATCATATTTTGCTCCTGGCAAAGGAGGTTCCAATGGTGCCCCAGTACAGTGAAGTATGGTCAAATAGAGGCCGCACGACCCATAAGGTAATCACGACAATGCTGTGCGCGGCTCTGCAAGTACGCAAACCCATGCCTGGAATCTTCGCGAACCACCGTGCTGCTAATCTTTCCCTGGGTGCGGTGCAGATGCTGTCAGACAACCTGCGCGGCGAGATGACGGCCTTGCGCCAGGGTCCCACCATCTCGCTGCGCGACAGCAAGTTCATTCAGTTTGTAGCGCGGGCTCTGAGCGTCAGCAGCAAGGAGGCAAGTTTCAACCGGGGCGGGAGGGTGGGAGGTGCAGAAGGAAAGTTGCACACGGCGACGAGTGGAGCAAGCGGCGACGTGGGTCGGAGGCCGGGGTGTCGTTGGGGGAGATGTTTAGAATCAACATTGCGGTTTGGAGTATTTGGCTGCTAGAAATTTCCATGTGGTGATGAGCCACTTCATTGAGCCGTCCGTTGCGTGGCCAGGTCGTTTGTGAAAAAGAGCCACACAGCTCGTTGAGCAGTTACCTAGTGGAATAAACAAAAATAGTTGGGTTACGTTTGTGGCTTTGCAACCTCCAGGCAATTCACCGCCACAGCCTCTCGTGTGCATCCTTGTCGTGTACATCTTACCGACCTGATCAGCTGTCCATGTACCCCCTTACGAACATGTACTCTACTTGCTTAAATAATGTGGTTGTTTATTTTTTTTTACGTGTGTATGCATAACTTTTTATGCATGATATTTAATGTTAAAGATGATACTGCAATGTGTAACACGATTTAGTTGTAACCCTGCTTTATTTACCTGATAACAATAGATTTGTATTCACAAATTAACCAAGGGTTTCTTTGTGACCCTGGTTGATGAAACTCCACGTGACCACCACTGGTACATGATTTATCTCGCTTGTTCCCCCGAGACCCACTCGGACCTATTTTATGAATTTACCAGGTCAGGCCCACTGAACTATATAGCTATTTGAGAAGCGACCTGGCCACAAATGATAGCTCAACGAAGTGGGTTATCATGTGGAAATGCATAGCAGCCAAATACTCTAAACACACGTTTTTAAATGTGGAGGGGAAAAACTGGAGGACCCAGAGGAAACATCCATGCAACCACGGGGAGAGAGACATGCAAACTCTGAATATACAGGTGCCAGGGTTGGGATCTGAACCCACGACCTGTATACCAGGCGAGGTAGTTAACATATCGCCACTGTGGGTACCCATGGAAGTCTGATTGCCACAGGTTAAGACCCAGAGGCGGTGACATGGCCTAGCACTACCGCATTTGCAGGTTGTGGAGGTTAACAGTTCTAATCCAGCCCTCATTATCACTGCGGTGGTGTGGCGTTACCCATCGTATACTACGCGCCGTCTGCTTCACTCGGTTGACGTAATAAAATATCCAGTGCGGGAGCCACGGCCCAAATTTGGAAAATTCCAAAAAAAACTCAGTAAATTTACTCTGCTGTGATTTGCACACGGCAGCAGTCATCGCCCTCTACCGAATGGCACGACTAACCGCCCACTTGTAGGACCACGGTCCTGAGTCCCCTTTGTGTGCCACACACCGACACAGCAGCCACATTTGTGTTGTGATGGGATGGAGATGTTTGAGTTGCTTATCATGTGTAGAGATGCCCCGACCCATAGAGGGTGCAAACATCAAAACCATAGCAATAACACTGGTCAACACACTTTTTCTGGCAAAAGGTATTCCAACGGTTTTAAGGTAATTTTGTGGTGCTGATTCCAAATCTGGCATCAGTTTTTGTCTATCACATCAGATTTTTGAGATATCAAATATTGCATTTTCAATAAAAACTGCAGAAGAAAAATATAAAATAAATGTGGATATCTACGTAAAATGATATTATAAACACACCATCCTAAAAATACAGCACCATATTTTAACACTAAAGCAGTCGCTGACTCGCAACAACTTGCAATCATAAGTGACAGAGTTCATTTCGGGTAAAATCAATGAAAACGGGGTATGCCAATAGCATCAAAATGATGTGTTAGAGCAAATCTGAGATCAGATTTGGAATCTGCACCCTGAAATTAGTCCAAAACAGCTGCAAAAGTCCAGGCCAGAATTTTTTTTGTTTTTTTTGTTGACCAGTGTAATCGTCGTCGTTTATTAGTCACCACTGGCGTTCGTCACGTTTGCGTCGACTCTGGGTGCAGGAGCTGGAGGCTGTGCGGGATGCCATCGCGCCCATCCTGGCCTGCGCTGCGGCCAAGGCGGGAGACATCCACACAATGGAGGCCCTTCATGAGCTGGTACGCGGAGATTATTTGGACGCGCTATTTCCATCGTGGGGTGGGGGGGGGAGTGGCTTGCAAGTGCTCGTGGGTCACGTGACGAGAATTCTGCCCCCTTCTGGAGTGAGTAAATGACCGGGGTGGGTGTGAGCATCTTCCTGGCAGGCTTTGTGTATTATTTGGACAGTCGTGCAGTATTAACAGCGTTGAAATATGTAACAAGAAGGGAAATGAACTGGGATCCATGACTGACATTCTCAGCCGCAGAGTAGAGTGCTCTCGATGTTGGCTACGTACGGTGCGAAATAATTTCTCCATACACAACATTAGTCTTGATCTTCCACGAAGCTCATGGTCCACCCTAACTAAACGACATCGGCAGATACAGATACCTGTTACAAAAATGAAATTTTAAAACTCTCCAGTCGTATGCGACTGTCGTCATTCCGACGACCATGTAACCACGCAATGTCCCGATCCACAAATATGAAAGAGACACCACTGATCATGACGCGGTTGTTTCGCTTGACCAGCTGAATGTGAAATTGTAGTTGCCCTGCATCTACATCGGCCATATGAAAGAAGAAAGTGTTAACGTTTTCAGCTGAGGTTCGAAAAATATTGCAGGCGCAATGCACGCGTTGAGGGTTCGGCATCGATTATCGGGGATGGAGCAGGTGGCTGTGTGGGCTCGCTCGCTCGGCACACACACACGGGTGGAACGTTATTGCTCAATACTGACGGTCTGGAACACAGCTCTTTACAATTCCCTGCGTTTCGATTATGGCATAGAAAGAGCAACGTCAAGCCTCGCTAATTGAATTAGCTTGCCATATAAAACAAATAAAATTAGCATTCTGCAAGTTGTTGTATATGTTGGTTATCAAAATTTGTTATGTTGTATGCGTGCGTGGGTGAAATTATTATGTTGTATATGTGGGTTATGAATATTCAGTGAAAATAATAATAATTAAATGAAATCTGGCCAAATGTGTAATTATCCGGAAATATGTTAATTTATGTAATTACGCACATTTTAATTATGCCAATTCGAGAGGTAATCGGATTAATTATGCGAGTGGGTGTAATTATGATAATACAAGTCGTTATGATATCCAGACCCCGCCTCGGTGACGAGGGTGGGTTATCGATCGGAATAAGGCAATTAATCGTATGCAGTTATGCAGGTGTGGTGTAAGTATGCAAGATTAACTTAGATTAACTCGGCATCGTTGTCTAGGTTCGTCTCATTCTCGCTTTAACATTCCCAGAGTTTTATTCGTGGTTATATTTTTAGGTCCCCGGTTCACCCCGTTATCGCTTTAACATTTACTGAGTATGTATTAGTGTGTTTATTAAGGTCACCAAGTTCAAATCTCAACGCAGAAGCAGATCTTATGCATAGATTTCAGGAAAGAATCACACAACCACTTCTGTATTGATCAATTTATTACTAATTCAACCTTAACTATGATATAATATGCGAACTCTCAATCCCGGAACGTCAACACGGCATCAATACAGTATCATCAACGATTGTCTGATTTCACTTTGACAACTGCACATGGATCCCGCATAACGCGATGGTTGTTAGTGAGAGAGAGAGTCGTTAAAACACGCAAATACTATGCTAAGAAAACCTTAATGTTAATGAATGATTATACTCAATATTGTTCATAACGCGATGGTTGTTAGTGAGAGAGAGAGTCGTTGAAATATGCAAATACTATGCTAAGAAAACCTTAACGTTAATGAATGATTATACTCAATATTGTTCATAACGCGATGGTTGTTAGTGAGAGAGAGAGTCGTTGAAATATGCAAATACTATGCTAAGAAAATCTTAACGCTAATGAATGATTATACTCAATATTGTTCACGCAGTACCACACTCCTTATTGACCATACGCAACCCTTATCACGTTGTTAACACCTTGGGTCACGGGACAGTTGAATATTCTGTAGAGGATGCGAGTACGTGCGGCGATTATGACTGGAAGATACTTGAAAGATTATACGGCGATAAAAAAAAACACAATCAAAAACAGTTATTATTCTTAAAGGCACCAATCTCAACAGATACATCGGCAGGTTATCTGACAACAGAACGGCTCGGAGTAAGGGCCTGCGACGGTGCTCCTTTTCCGAAGCTCGTTATCTTATACCAAGTTTACTAATTGGGGACCAGATCACCTGATAAGGATCCGTTGGGCCACCACTCCCCACGTGAGCGTGGCTCGGCGGAAGGAGGTGCCAAGAATCAGTTCGTATTGATGGATCTGTTGGGAATTTATGCGATTAAGAGTACAGCCCGCTAAATATTAAAGATAAAAATTAAGAATACTCTTATAAACGACGGAGGGCCATCACTCGGTCTCGTTGTGATGCTTTCCAGCCACGGATGGCTTATGGGTTCGAGTGTTTTTGAGTGGGAAGAGTTGTCTTGAATAGTCAGTGTTCGGAGTCGATTCTTTAGGTCAAACAGACGCCTGGTGGTCGTGTGGTGAGGTGGCGGTGCGCGTCATACGTATCAGTCGATCCCCTGTCACCGTGGCGAACTGGTTCGGATGGCTGTTGACGCTGTCGCAGATCGGAACCCGGTCGGTAGGTGGCGCCCACAACTCGCTCGTAGCGTGCAGCTCTGGGTTGTCGCCGAACCGCGATGCTCACCACTCCGGTGGCAGCAGAGACCCCCGATTCGGCAGAGGTTGACGAGCTGAAGATGAGTCGAGCCGACCCGCTGGTCGCAGCTCGCTCCTGAGTCGACCCTCCCGGTCGAGCTCCTGAGTGGACCCGCTGGTCGCACTCCTGAGTGGACCCACTCTGGTCGCACTCGTTCCTGAGTCGACCCTCTGGTCGCACTCCTGAGTCGACCCTCTGGTCGCACTCCTGAGTCGACCCTCTGGTCGCACTCGTTCCTGAGCCAACCCACTGGTCGCACTGATTTCCAATGCTCAGGATCCTTTCCTTTATGCCGAAAAATCCCCCTGGATCCCGCCCACAAGGCGGGGCTTCTTTTCGATTTTTGCTGTATCAGGATCTGTCCGTAGGCAGGTGTGTCCATGTGTGTGTCCGTACGTCCGTATGTCCTTGTGTGCATCACTCACGGTATTCCGTTGTCACCCTCCCTCCATAAAACCCACGAGCCAACAATCAGATGTTACAAATTGCCTCGAGGTCGTCTCTCTGTCTGGGTGCAATATTATCTCTTGTCTGGCCTTCTTCATGAACCCAAAACACAGACGTTACAAATCGTCTCATAGGCGTCTTTGTTCGTGTTGCACCACCTGGAGGGAGGGGCAACACTCTCTCCGACCCGGCGCACAAAGAAATGGTTAAAAGTTTTAAGTTAACATTTGTCCCTTACTATTTCACAGTTATGATTCTGTATGTAACCTAAGGTCTGTCGTTTCCCATCGTGGTGCTTGACTCAAGTGGAGGTGTTTCCCCGAGCGTATACACACTCCTATCCCGCGCTGCGGGGATACAAAGACGGCCGGGATCTCCCTTTCTCTCCGACCCTGGGTTTAACATCGTTTTTTTATTATGTATTATATTCGACCTGGTGGTGATTCATCCCGTTATCCTGGCTTTTCATAAGTTTTACTTTAGTTTACGGTGAATAGCGTTAACATTGATGTTATGTAGATATTATGTATTGTGATGTCTTTAACTTAACTTGTTTGTCAGAGCTTTACTGACACGAAGTTGCATTTCATAGCCCCGCAGTCTTTGCCCCACCCTATCTCTGCTCGCCGTTGTTGTTGCCGTCCAGCTGGCCGTTGTTCAAGGCCTCATTAATTTCCGTCACTCCTGAGGTGAGGGCGGTTGAGCCTTGGAGTCAGTTCTGGTTTTTGTCTGCCGCCGTGCTCTTAATTTCCTTCCCTCTTCAACCTTATATATGATATATTCGCTCCTGTCTGGGTGCGATTCAATTTTGACTTAGGAAGGTTCTGATTGTCATATGCTTCGGGTCGAGTTGCATAGAAAGTATTAAAGTATGGAAATAACATTTCATTTGACTTAATGATGGTGATGGTTCAGTAGGCGTAACTTGTGGCCTGGTTTAATTGGAGTGGGTGTGAATATCAATAACTTTAGCCTACCCTGTTGTTAAATTCCGACTTTAACGTTACTTTAATAGCAATACAGAATAATTGAGCTTTTTGTCTTAACTAGGCGAATGCGAACTTCTGGTGACCCCCGCAGGCTTGTTATTCAGCTGGGTCTTGCCCGCCTTGAGAGATATACAACACTCTTTTAAATCAGCTCCCTGTGGCCCTCCAACCTTCTGCTCTGGGAATGTTATTCTTAATTTCAGGTCCAAGGCCTTTTTGGGTTTATCTTTGTTTCCTCAGCTGCAGGAGAACAAGGCGTGCTTCTACCTCCCTTTCTGTGTGCACGTGTTCTAATTAGCTCGGAATCCCTAACACACAATCAGTGATGATTCCTGGCTTTCTGTGGTTATGACTTAGACAAAGGCGCCTCTGCTTCCTTTCACTGCCTTTGCCTTGAAGCAAGGTTGCAATTCTGTCATCCTAGCCCTCCTCTCGTTCATTACTTAACAACACCTGGTGTTTTGCAGTTTGGTGCGCTTTGGTGTGTTTCACTCATTAAAAAAAACAAGTAAAAAGATAATATATAAAAATCATCAAATATTATTAATCTCAATTATGGAAGAAGGGTTAGGATACAACAAAGTTCACCCTTTGCTCAAGTAGGTCGCGTCTCTCCGGGCAAACGCTTGGTTGCCCGGCGGCCCGGCCCGGCCCTGGCGCGGCACAAGTTCAATCTGCTCGTGCTCTTAGATGGCTAACGCGGCGTACACACGGGGGCAGGGTATGAACCTGAGCGACCAGGACTACGACGGGCGCACGGCGCTGCACGTGGCGGCGTGCGAGGGCAACCTGGCGCTCGTGGGCTACCTGCTGAGCTGCGGCGCCACCGTCTACGCCAAGGATCGCTACGGCTGCACCCCGCTGCGCAACGCCGTCATGTTCCGGTGAGTGTGGGTGTGAGTGTGGGTGCGTGTGAGTGTGGGTGCGCGTGGCACCAGGAACCGTGGGCGAGTTCCGTGCTACGTCTTTGTCCTCAGTTTTTTGTTCCCCCCCCGCCGCCGCGCCTCTGATTCGCACGGTTGGCTACGTTTGGTGCAAAAGAAGGCCACCGTAGATATGTAGTCGCACCCGGACACGGGAGTCTTCCAATAATAGTAGTATTGATTTCTTCCAGCACGGGACACGTGGGTCTTCAAGGATTCCAATCACTCCAAGCGTTCACAGCTCTCTTGTTTCCCCCCCACTTATGTATCCCTCGAGCCCCTTTCTTGAAGGTGCCTTGCCACAGTTTTCCCCTCCCAACCAATCACCTTCCCACTTTGTGTTAATGGATCCCCAACCGACCTCCCTGTCAATTGTCCTCTGTTTCCCACCATTTCCATCTCGTATTTCTCCTCCAATCCCTTCAATGTCCTTGCCTCTAACCAGTCCCCTTTCAGGCCTGTCAACTCGCCAATCTGAGGGCTTTGTTTTTACTTCCTGACTTTCCGTGTCACGTGGGCGAGTATCCGTTGCTCATGATACAATCTCTCCACGTGCTTGCGTACTCGATGCCGCTGTTCTGCCAACCCCTGCTGGATTGTATTTTTTAGCCGAACGATGCTCAACTTGGAGCTGAAAGGCCCCCCACCCCTCCTGTGCGCCGGGCAGCGGCGATGGCCTGTAGTTCGGCCCTTTGGAGGCAGCAGCGAGGGTTGTGGTGAATCGCCGCCCTCACGTGGCTCACCTGGAGAATGCGGTACAGCAAAAATGTGGGCTCCACCTGTTGCGTCTCCAGGTGCTCCGGTTTCCTCGCACGTGTAAACATTCGTTAATTGGCTGATCGCAGCCTAACCCTTTCCCGGAATCGGAAGTTTAAAGCCCACGTGATTCGGGCATGTGGCAAAATTTGGCGCCAGCTATCATAGAGTGCGGTCGTGTCGTTGCAGCTCTCTGTGGTGAGTACAATGTCTTTGAAAAGCAAAGGCGCTACACCTAGATAAAAGTAATGCCGAGCCACTTCGTGTTCTGAGATTCGGGGATGAACGGGACACCCACCCTGTAACTTGCAGATGTCTCGGAATGGGAAAGGGTTAATATATAGAGGATCTCAGAGCTTGGGCAGTTGTTGGTACTGGCTCATCGTGTGGCTGCCTTGCCGCTTGTCTGTGGTTCCTCCCGAGTAATTTTATATCTCTGTTCGAGAGTGAGCGAACACTGCCGCGACAATTAGCATTATTGTTATTATTGTGCCGTGCATGTGCTCCCCCACAGGCACATGGACGTGATCAAGCTCCTGCGTCAGACAGGGGCTCACCTCTCCCAGGACGAGTACGATGGTCTGGGCCCCGAGCTTTGCACGTGAGTGCACAGTGTTACGACACGCACGGCATGAGGCACGCCAACCATGCTGTAATGGTCGGTATGCTGGACTTGCGGTTCGATTACCCCCCCCCCCCCGCTGCCTCTGTCCCACCCGCATTCTTATCGGCAGGTCGCACGTGGTGGGGTAAAGTGTGGGTACTTCTACCGCTCTCCTAGGTGTCTGGCCAACATGAACGAGTAGGCCTCTTAACCCCCCCCCCCCCTCTAGTTTGGTTTCAGAGCTGCTTCCTTTTGTTAGCAAAAAATGTTTGCAGACCTGCTCCTTTACCTGTGTGTGACCAAGTAATGGAGCGGTAGCGTAGCGGGTTAGCGTGCTGCACTACGAACCCGGTGACCCGAGTTCAATTCCTGCTCATGGACAACCGGTCCTGGGCCTCCCCTAGGTCGACTCGGCCTCCAATGAGTACCTAGTGCAATATGTAAACATTGCCACTGGGGAGACAAAGGTGGTCGGGCGTGGTGCTGGCCACCCACCCCCTCGTGTGTGGTGCTGGCCTTTCACAGGTGCTCTTTAACAGCACTTGCCCCAGTAGCCTGTGAAAGCTATATGGGGGATCTCTCTGTCTTTATTGTGACAAACAATGCGTAGACTATTCTTTGGTTCTTTCGGTAAAGTCGCGTAGATAGAAATTAATAAATAAATTGATAAACTAAAACTCACGACGTTTCGATCGCAACACAAGCGGTCGTAATCACCGCTTGTGTTGCGATCGAAACGTCGTGAGTTTTTGGTTTTTATATACATATATATTTTATTTTCTATTGTGGCTTTACCGTAAGTACCAAAGAATATTAATTCCTGCAGTCACGAAAGTTTAAAGTAAAAAATGTAATGCGTCGACTGCGTGCAAGACCCGTTGTCACCTAACTTGACACACACAACATGTGACAACCAATGTGTGTGACGCATGCACGAAGCCTGCCGCCCCCAATATATGAACGGCACCACGTGTAGCGAGCGGGCACGCTTCCTGCGCCATGGCAGTGACGTTCAGAAGCTAAATGGCAAATGTCAGTCTGCTAGCCCATGACGAGAGGTCTTCGGAAGAAGAGAGTTTGTGTACTTATGCCATTTCCTTGTCCGTTGAAGGAGTGCAGACTACGATGGTTTACTTTGTGGTGCGTAGTTTGAGTTGCATGTGTGTATCAGAATGCATCTGCATTTGTAGCCCCGTAAAGTTTGACTGGTAGTTCAGTTGCAAGACTTGAGGTTTAACATGTCATTAGTAAGGCTTCCGTGATCAATATTATCCAAAATCGAGGTTTTTGGGGTTGGATCACGTAAATATAAATGCTGTAAACCCGCCACAGCCAATTAGTAAGGGTTCATAACGTAAACAAAACGTGCCAATTCGTTACTAGTACAGCACATCGGTTTGTTGGAGAGTGGTGGCGGGTTTAACAACCCTTTTACTTAGGTAATCTGACCTAAAAAACCTCTACGGTTAAAGTTTTGAGGTCTTGGGCATGTTGTGGTGCCTCATTCTGACCGCAAGCAAGCCAGTCCCTCCAGAAAAACGCGATTATGCGATCGCAAGATTCCACGCAAAATCAGCCAAAGTCCGCATATTTATGCGGGGGGCGCGTTTTTTCAAATACGCCGCACTTTCACCGCATAAATTGCAGATTTCCGCGCGCAAAATATGCGGGCTTGCATGATTTCATAATCCCCGCATTTTCGTTGCAAAAAGTCACATATATCTTAGCAGAAAGTTGAAAAATGTTGCGTTTACTTCACACAAGCGCAGCCATTTCCCCTATTGCCATGGGAACGTTATGAAGTGTTAGAGGCTACGTAGTTAGTTTTATTCAGGAGTTTATGCAACTTTACAGTTGTAAGATTGCACTTTTTTGTTAGTAGTATGTAAATTTACATTACTGTAAGACTGTACTGTTACTGTATTGCTTACGTTACTGTGCACTGAAAACACTTATTTTAACAGAAGATGTCTGTTTTGTATAGCTACCTCTGTAAAACAGGAAGCACACATTTTATTTTTTTATATTTTATTTATTCATTTTTACAGAAGTTGTAGCATATTCATTTTGTAAAGCTACAGAACTTGTTCGACTCAATGTTTTGTAAGTTTGAGCCATCTGTTTGTTAAGGTCTGAAATAAAACAAGATGAGAACTTAAATATTCCCAGCACTTTCTGTGATGTAGTATGCTTGCTTATCATAGGAAGTAATAAGAAATTACTCTTTACATTAAAGTAGTAGCCTAGTGAATAGGGTGTTGGGGGAATCACTTTTTTTTCTCTTTTTCATCAAACCGCAGTTTTTGCAAGTTCCCGCAATTTAATCGCATAAAATTGCATAAATATCCCGCATATTCCATCGCATTTTTTAAGAAAACGTGCCGCATAATCAACGATTTTTGCCCGCAACAATCACCAAAAAACTCCGCGTTTTTCTGGAGGGACTGGCAAGCTGCAGAACGGTCGCTACACAGCACGTGTGTGCGCACCGCCCTGTCGTGTCACCACCTCGTGTTTACGTGCAGGAGGCAGGAAGGCTTCTTTGCACGTGTACAGCTCTTGTCGATGTATACTTCCATAGCAGGGTGGCGCAGTGGCAACGCTTGTGCCGCACGACCCCCGAGGTTCGATTCGCGACTTGATAACCCTTTCTGTGTGCAGGTTGTTCTTCACCGGTTCCATAGAGAGTGAGTGGCATTTGTGTGTTCTACAGCAAGTGGAGTTTGTATGTTCTCCTGTTCTGCACAGCTTTACCTCCTGAGTACTTTGGTCCCATACCTAAAATAAAACAGCCAGTATCGGCCCAAAAAAATCACAATCCTAAAATATTCAACATTTCAATACCCCATTGGGATTGCACATAGTAGTAGTAACATCGCCCCCCTACTGCAATTAACTTTGCAGACCCCCTCCTGAAGGAGAGTCTTGAGACAGAGGTTTTCATAAGTGGGCGTAATCTTCTTTCGTACGACTGATGTAGATGCAGAGCAGCAACTACGATTTCACATTCAGGAGGTCAAGCCAGATAACAACCGCGTCAGCGGCAGCGGGGTGTATCATCGCTGTGATGTCTACTTCATATTTGTGGATCGGGCCATTATGAAATAATAATAATATCTGAGGTTGTGGATGGTGCTGTTTTACGTAAATTATTGTGCGTGCGTGTGTCTCCTAGAATGGCAGTAAATGGGGACGTGCAGGGCTTGATGGCGTGGAATTTGGCCGGACTGAACCTGGACACGCAGCTGGGCTACGACCAGCGCACGCCGCTGCAAATAGTGCGTACGCTAGGATCTCCCCCGGCTCTTCCTTTTGTCCACGTTGTGCGAGGTCTATTTGTGCGTATGGCAATATGCTCAGGAGCTCCGCCAATGTTGAGGTCTGTATATATGCACGATGAACTTCGTGTGCACCGTACGTAGCCAACCGTGCTAATCGGAGGTGCGGCTTGGCATGGATGGTTGAGACCTGCCAGCCACAAGTGCTTTTTAGGAAAGCGTTTGGGTAGTTTTGCCATTCCTCATCCATTTGAAGGAGTGCAGATTGCAGTGGGTTTTCTCTGTAGTCTGTAGTTTTGGGTTGCGTGGCCACAGTTGGACTGCCGTGTCGGTCTTTACTAATGGAGGTAGAGACAAAGTGATCTTGATTGTTTGGGTAAGCACCCACACCACGAGGGTTGGGCAGCCCACTGTATTAAAGGAGTGACGGTGCAAAAGCTCTAACCACTTTTGTCCCTGGGGCCGTATCGCGTGTGTGTGCATTGAGGCTGCTTGTCAGTGGCACCTCCGTAAATAGTTTCATCTAAAAAAGTTCGAGGAAATTCAGTTGTGAGCTTGGCGTACGACCGTTACAAGTGATGCCCGTTGCCAAGTGAACGGAGAGATGAAGACTCTCCACGCACGCTGGGACGTGTTGCACATCGTCCGTAGATCTTGTTGAAGATGCATCGATGTCTCCCAACCGTCCAACTGCCAGCCAGGCTCGTGTATTTATGGCCATTTTAATCGGTGTAAATCTGTCCTGAAATCTGTTTAAGGAGTGATTGGCCATTTGAAACTTGCTGTACAAGTTCAAGCTTCAACTGGTCACTCATGGCAACATGAAGTTGTTCGTTTGATTTTTAATTTTACAATTTTCAATTGGTAACTAATAACTGCACGCCCCCCCCCCCCCCTCTCATCATTGTGTTTTGGTTTTTAATTTATTCCCAATTATTCTCACTCTGCGGGTTTGTGGTGGTGTTCATCAGTGCAGAGTGAACAAGCGGGCTTGTGGCGACTGCAGCGGAGGGATTTTGAAGGGGTACCAGAGATCATTCTTCGTAGTGCTGTGCTTTGGCATTCCCCGAACATAACGTGATGTTCTGTTCCGAAATGAATCGCGATGTCATTCGTTTCATTCCTTGACATTGAGAATAGAGAAGATTCATACTTGTCATTGCAGGACGATGAACTGAAATGTAAAATACCGTCTGTTCCGCAACTGGTGCGCTGTGTATTCTACGGAAACGTTCGATGTGTTTGTACTCGTAACGAGAAACCATACCTTGTGCTTTCAGGCGAAGAAAGCCAATAAAAAAGAAGTTGTACATTTCTTGGAGGGTGCCTCTAAAAGGAAGGAACAGGCGAGTGAAAGCAACATTGCAGCAGTTGAAAACAAAGGAGACTGATCGTTAAACGCGGGCGCCACATTGATAATGACAACGGAGTGAATTCGAACTCTGACCGAGGGAAGAAGTGCCGTGTGACATTGCGTGGCATTGTTAGGTCACCGGCACAGACTTGAGAAGGCCAGCTGCCATCGCCAAGAACGACTTTGCCAGTTAATGTCATTCTTGTCCCTCTTGCGGACACGCTCTGTATAGTCGATCGGAAAACAATAATAACCGTTAAGGCTGACGACAGTTGGTATTGTTTTTAAATCGGCGTTGGTACATTCCTCGCTATGCCACCTCCATTGTCGGACGGTATAATCCATTCGTACAAAGCGGCGCCATGCATTGCAAGGCACATTTTGATCGCCCTTTCAGTTACGGTAATACTGTGTGTGGGGTTGTTGGCCGTGTTGTGGAGAAAGTGACATTGTTTGTCCCTGTTTGGCTTTAATCCATCTACGGTTATTCTCCTAAGGTTACTAAATTATACGATCAAGTCAGTTAACTTTGTACGGTTGTTAATGATGGATCAATTTGGGTACGCTGATAACTCCCTCGCCTGGTATGCAGGAGGTCGTGGGTTCAATCGCGACCCTGATGCCTGTATTTGGAGTTTGCGTGTTCTCCCCGTGGTTGCGTGGATTTGTCTCTGGATTCTCTGGTTTTTCCCTCCACCTTTTTAGAAACGTGTACGTCATTGTAACGGCATCAGAATAGAATGACGACATACACACGCACGTCATTGGAACGGTTAAGGGTTTTAATTGGCTATTGACACCTTTTTAATGCATAGAGGACCCCAGAGCTTGGGCAGTTGGTGCATGCTCATCGCGTCTGTGGTTCTTACTCGCGCCTCCGCCTCGGTCTCTCTCTACGAGAGCGATCGGTGGCATCTTCCCTTTTGAAGTCGAGATGTGCCACTGTGCCTCTTCAGCCGTCGTCGAGGAGGTGAATGCGAATGTGTGTTTAGCCGCCCTGCAGCTTGACGTGACCCGAGCATTGATGTATATTTTTGTTCAGACTTGTGCAGATCTGCTCACGTCCCGTTCTCTCTTGCCCGCAGAACTTGGAGACTGGCCAAGTGAAAGATCTGCCTCGTGTGGAAGCGCTCTCTCTGGTAGAGTTAACAATTTCTATTCTTGAATTCAAAACGTGAAAAACAAGGTGGGGTTTCTCCATCAATATTCCAAAGTTAAAATGTATTTGTTCACGTTGTAGCGCCTCTGGATTTGCTGCTTTTCTGAAAACAATCTTGGACGTAATAGCCCCTACATCTGACAATGACATGGATACCACCGTTGGGATTTGGTTTGTGTTCCTTGCAGCGGAGGTGAATTTACCCAAGGAATGTAACTGAAAATATAAAACATTTTAATATTTTAAAGACTTCCCTCACAGCAGTTGCGGTAAAACAGCTAAACTAACATAATTATATTATCAGCCGGACCGTCCCAAAGTTTGGGAAAATAGAACTTAAAATGTGCGTGTGGCTTGGCATTTACCGATTTCAGAAATAAAAGCTATACGTTTATAAAATGTATATTTGCAGTTAGCCTACTTTTTGAATGGTTTTAAGTTAAAATGGGGGATAGTTCATGTACAGAGGCCTTGGTTTTAAGAAAGGTGCCTTTTTCAAGAAAAAGTTTAGGTTTGAGAAGTGCAACTCTTATGTAAACGTATGTTATCTTTCATAATTGATACGATTACATTAACGACACATTGTTATGCGATCAAACTCAAAAACATTTGACTAATATTGATCTCGAAAGCCTACGTGTGAAACTGTCCATTGTGTCTATATGCTTAAATCCGTGAAATGTGTGGCATATGTAATTATTTGATGGTGGTGCGATGGCTTTTGGTGGACGTCGCTTTATCCGTAGCGCTGTTTCACATCTGAAGTTATACACTGCACAACATGTACATTCTCTTCAAATAAAATGTGCAATACATTTTGGTATTCACGCCATTTCTTATAGCGCGAAACTACATCGCCACAACTTAGGAAGAGTTGCAGCTGCGTTTCAGGCCGGTCTGCAGTAGTATCGCAGTAGGGCGCGCGATGTTGCTGTGCCGTTCTCCAAGTTGAGTAATTGACAGTAAAATAGTCTTTTTTGGGATCGTGACGCCGGCACTGCGTGGCATGCGCACCCTGTTCCGTGGTGAATAACAACGTAGCATCTACTCACCTCAAACTGTGAAGCAGCAGGCGGCGCGTAGAGTCGTAGTAGTATGATGGACCGTACACACCGCGCTATTAACCGGCGGTGGCCGTGGGGTCCCCAACTGCCGACCCTGTGCAACGAAGAAAGCCGTGTTCGTGCCCCCACATTGCTCACGCTTGTCGCTTGTCTCCGCCGCTGTGCAGGATGCCGCTTGCACGAACGGTAATGGTGTGGACGACGAATGACAAGGGCAGCTCTCTTGACTCCGTGCAAGCGTCTCAAGGTGCCGGGGGGGGGCTGGGGGCTGGGCGAAGGGGCCCCCCACTGGCCTTGCTAAGGAGACGGACGTGGACACGGTATTCTCAGTGTCAATCGTTGCACACGCGCCAGAGGTGAATTTTGCAATGTTGTCTTGTGAATGGTTTCTGCGCGGTACCCACTGACAAAAGTTTGTTTGTTATTACCGAGATGTACGAACGGAAACCTTTTTGGAGCGTAGACATGACTTTGCACAAAAAAAATTGTCATTTTTTTCATTTATCCTTGTATCATGTTTTTGATTTGAGGCGTGCGATGTTGTTTAACTTCTGTCGACGCACGCGTGCATTGATACACGTCCTGCGGTGTTCTGTGTTGGTGGCAGAACCCAGAAATGTCCGAATTTCGTGTCTTTGTAAATGTGTAGTTTTAGCATTGCGAAACGACTTGTATTTTAACGAAAAAAACGGTGTATAATTTGTGCTTGCTGCTGGTTTGTCAAAAGTGGGGGGTGGATATCTTTGTGCATAAGTTCGTGATGAAGTCGAGTGACCCAAGGTGGTGGCGATGGAGTGCCCAGGCACGTGGTAACGCTTTACTTAAACTGCACACCCTCAACTGGGTTATGCCAGGGAGACTGCGTCGACATTGCATCCTCTCGGTGGCCACTCGTCATTGGGTGGGGGGGGAGTGGAGTAAAATCGAAAAACCGATGCATTGTCTGCGCTAAACGAACGTTGTAAAATCTATCAACACCCCCCCCCCCCCACGGCTACCACCAACTCCCTCCCGCGTGGGCTGGTGGCCCTGCTAATAGATGAAGCGGTGTATCTTTAACCGCCTTCCTCCCCACTTGCGTTGTTTTAGCAAAAGTTGTATTTGTGGTTCAGTGTTCCAATTTGTATGCCTTTAAAACTTGATGTGACTGAGGGGGCAGGGTTGTGTGTCCATCGGCAGAATAAGTCCACATCAACCATAATTAATGTCGCTCTTGCGGTTTTCCTTGACATTAGCTTTAAAAGGGACACTTTATATATAACCACAATAATGTATTCACTCTTGATGAATTGTGTGGGAAAACTTCCATTTTTAAATCGAAGGTATGATTTCCTGAATGTTAATGAACATTTTCTTCAGTAAAATTTAACGTTTGTGTGGAATTTTGCTCTGTCCGTGTGTTTTGTGTACATATTCTTAAGAGCACGTGGTGTTTTTAATGTTTTGCATCGGTGTGTAAAAGTGCATTCGCTCGCACCACAACTCCTCCCCCCCCCCCCCCCCCCCAAAAAAAAAAGATTCCACTGTTTCTCCTTGTTAAAATGTTAAAAAATAAACACTCCACCGTGTGATTCTGTACGTGGCCCACACCCATATGCCCAACTTGGCCACTCTGCCATGTGCTGCACTGCGCTCGATGGCACGCTGTATGTAACGTGCACGGCAGTGGCCCAAATTTGGCAAATTAACAACTAATGGAAGTCTTCGGGTTACGAACCTAATTCGTTCCAGAGACCTTGTTTGTAAGTTGAGCGGTTTGTGAGTCAGAGACGCAGTAATGCGCTGCATTTAAATGTCCATTTCGGTCTGTATTATGAAATGTGATACGGTTCAATAAAATGGTTTAAACGCCTAATTAAGAAGAAATATTGTATATTTGCATGTAACGGTGTAAAACAGTGCTTCGTAACCTTGTACTGCAGCATGCACCCGTTTGGTTCTTGGGGCATCTTGCACCACCAGGGGGTGCGTGCACCCAGGTTAAGAGCCACTGGTGTAAACTACTACTATAGTAAATAAAACAGTCACAAATAGACAAACACTCTACTTTAATTTACCTGGAGTCCTGATGGCAGCTTGTAGTTGGAAGGGGGGGGGGGGCGCAATGAGTCACCACAATTGCACAGACACACACGAGGCACGCACACACACACACAAAGACCCCGATTCCCCTTGTAGCCTCAACGGCACACGAGGGCGAGTGGCCAGCGACATGCCTGGCTGCCTTTGTCTCCCCAGTGACGATGAACTGCACCAGGTACTCATTTGAGGTGGAGTCGACCTAGGGGGGAGGCCCAGGACCGGTTCCAACAATCGTCACCGCTGTTGGCAGTGAACAGGAATCTTAACTCGGGTCGCCAAGTTCGTAGCGCAGCGCGTGAACCGCTTCTCTACCGCTCCCCCATCGCTGTCAACCCCTTATCCGAGCCCCCCCCCTACCTTTATTACAGACCAATTCAGACCTTATTGGTCACCGTGTGCCCCTTTTATAAATCTCAATGTTCATCCTACAAAGTCCCATCACAAGGGAGAAACACATAGACAAAATAAATTTTTGTAACGTATTAAAATGGCTGTCTGCCATATGGCCCGGACAAGGATTTGGGGTAAACGGTATGGGATTGAGTGGCCGCATAGTGTCTGGTTATGTATTTAGACTTGCTCCACTCCAGGGACGTGCGGTCAGGGGAGGCAGAGCCTCGCCTGTCATACTCCAATGTAAATAGCTGTTACTAAAAGTAAATAAAAGAATAATCAAATAAAATAAACATTAAGATTGTTCCACTGATCTGTGTTATGTCATTTCTGTACAATTCCAATCATTTTTATAGTCAAAATCGCCAAATTTGCGGAGCTCCGCTGCAAATACAGGAAGAGACGAGAGGTGAGGCAGCGACGAGCTCAGCCTCCCCTCTGATTGCGCAACCCCTCGGACACATGGAGCGCGGGCAATAAGCGCGTGCCTGTTACTCAGTGTCACCAATGTAATGTTTATAGACCCCTTCGTTTCATGTCCTCGCCTTCCATACTCCAGGTAACTTATTTCACGTATGTGTATTAAGATATTTAGGCTCGCTGGTCTCGACATGAAACTGCAATGAAAACGCACCAGGGGAGGCAGCTATCACATCTGCCTCACTGAGGATGTCTAACGCCCCCTGAGGCCACGCCCCCCTCGGTGTGAATCTTGCTCTGACACAAGCCAGTGCCTCCCCAGCCATTGACCTCGCCGCAAGTCACTGCTACACTCACACTTTCACACACCACGCGCAAACACTCACTCCCAGCGCGAGGCCGACTCACTACACCTCGTGGAAGATCACTCCTCCGAAGAAAAGTTCCGCTGTTCAATTTGTAAATGGAAGTTTGTTTGAAGTACATGTTCTTTTTTGTGTATACTTCATGCAAGCTGGTTCGTAAGTACGGGGAGCGTTCGTAAGGTGAGGACTGCCTGTAGTGTAGAACAAACTCAAATGACTTGGTTTTGGGGGGGGGGGGGTGTGACGGCAACATTGTACCCCGACTGGTGGTCGAATGGGTAATTTCGAGCTGGTGCTGTGTGTCCACACCTTGGCGAGACTTGCTAGACAGAATTTGAATGCTGAATACCGCACCGAATTCTAAATGTCTTTGGGGGCGATGACGTGGTGGCCAATTTATGTCACAAGGTGACACGAACCGTACATCTGCTCCTTTTTAAGATTGTTGGAAGATACACCCATTCCCGCACGCTTGAATCGGTTGTCCAAAAACCATTGCATGCATCTGACACAATCGCTTATTTGGTTGTGGGGGGGGGGGGGTGAAATTTCACCGGAAGTATCAAAAAAACAAACTTATCCACGATGAGAACACAAGAACAGCAACACACAAACGCAACATACAAAACATTATGGAATTGTCTTTATTTTCAAAAACTGAATAGACCTCCCCACCCCACTGCCTTTCTGCCCTTTGCAGTAAAACTAGTTGACAAATGTACCAAGGTTAATCAACAAAACGTGTTGTTGTTAGTTGCTGAGCGATTGCATAAAATCGCCTGCGGATGGCTGTTCCCTTGCTCCTCGGACGTTCTGCTATTGCACTTAAACTGTACAGTAAAACAGCAACTTCTCTCGTTAAAAAAAGAACTAAGGACAAAAAAAACACCGCTCCACAGCAGACAAATTTTTTTTAAATCGGGAGCTCTAAAGTTAATGTTATAACATGGATTTTTTTAGGGTAAAAATTGACAATTCAAAAAAACTGTTCAAGACAGTTTTCTTTGTTTGAAAAAAAGCAACCGATATGCCTTCGCGATTTTAAAAATTAAATAAGAAGCCGTAGCCAACTTACGAAAAAAATACCATTGTGTTTTGAGTAAATATGCAATGAGGGGGGGGGAGCGAGCATTTAATTACAGCACGAAATATCAACACAATCGTGAACATGTGTTTGTCTAAAGTTGGACAAGTTTTTGTTTGCATTCCGTAAAGTCTGGTGGCATCGCCCTCTCGCTTAAGTTTGCTAAGCCTTAAAAATAATAAACACCGGTGAAATAAAAAAAATTTCTCACGATGTATCTTCAACTGTTTCAAAGCCATTATAATAATAAAAAAAATCGAATTCTCTTCTTGGAACGGAGCACCATAAATGCGCAATTTCATCAGGTTGTGATTTCCGCAGCGTTGCTCGCACTGATCGGGAGACCCCGTCAACACTGGCGCTGGGGGCGGTGTCTTGCTGGGTTTGGGCCGTGCACAATCATGTGGTCGCACGTCGACAAGGAGGGAGATATTGATGGTTGGGAAATCGCAGAGTTCAACATTCACCACTGGACGTGACTGACATCAAGGCTCAGTTTGGCTGCCATTGTCCACACGTCCCATAATTTTGTAATTCATGAAGCCCTGCTGAAATCGATGCTTAATTGTATCAATTTCCCACCATTTTTGTTTTAAAAAAATCCCACCTCTACCTCTTAGCATCCTGTAACCCTTGACCCCAGCCCAAGAGGTTGACCCAAAAGTAGGTTGAGGTCAAGGGTTACAGGAAGCTAAACAAAGAATTGGTTGAAAACATTCCTCCTTCGGCCTGAACAGATGGGATGGAGCATCACCAACCTCTTGCATACTCCTACCATCAACACCTGGCAAGGTGTTATTCCTTTTCAGGCAGAGGGCACTGGATTTGGTAATCTTTGTGTGTACATGGAACAGCCCTTCTGGCAATCCACTGCTGGATGGAAGAAGACCCTCCCCACGCAGTGGGTTCGTACATTTTTATTTTACCATATTTAACCACGCCGGTCTGTGGGCTTTCCCTTCAGACAAAGTATCACAATATTACTCAAAAGGTCAGAGGTCTGGTTACTGACGAGTTAATGCCCCAGTCTGCCATGTAGGTTTTGCCCAAAAATGTGCATTTATACTGGTTATTCCAATCGCAGAAACTGAAAACAAATACCACATCGTGAAAATGCTTCAAGACTTCATCTGATACGCAGTGAACGTATCTTCATGGCAGTCCACAACCATCTACATTTAAAATGACCGTCACTGCAATACCATCTGAGCTTGCCCGCTCAACAAAACGAGTTCATCTGCCGTAAGGCAAAATCAAAACACGAGGCCATTTTCACTCCGAGAACAACGTTCGAATATGTCATTATTCTAACAACAGACCTGCTGCCTTGTTTGTTTAAGGGTTTGCTTGCAGACACAAACCGACAACGGTAACAACAAAGTGTTTGAAATTCTCCCCAGTTATAAATGTCGACTTACCAAGCTACTAGTACATTGCTTAATTACGGGAGAAAATAGAGGACTTGGTAGCATCTTTGTTGAAGAACATGAAATAAAATCCCATCAAAATAATATGCCATTTGTCGAGTGAAAAGCCGACCCGAGTACTCGGTATTGTATCCGAGTCGTTAACGACGTATGAAAACATTGCATTCAAACCGGGTGTCGGGGGGAAATCCGTAACCTTGAAATATTTTGAGTTTCTCTCTCAAAAATGACTGCAGCAGAGTGAATTACTGCCATTAGTGACCTGAATTTTAGCGACCAACGTCATGACGTTTTTATCTAGAAAGGGTGTTTACATTTTTTTGCTTATTAAAAAATAACGAGCATTGGATCGTTATCGTGCCAACGCCGGATGGCTGCAATACAAATGCGTGCGAGCTTCGAGGTGGACATACGGCCACCAAGTATATTCAAAACTTTGCATAAATGGTGTACGTAGGTGTACAATTCTAATTAGCATTCCTTATTAATATTCGTTTTTCCACGTCTAAATACTAAGTGGGCACTCTACCGAGACAAACGGGCGTCTAATCAAAAGGTTAGCGGGGCCTGCACCCCGTCATAAGCAGGCCCTGGGGGGAGTAAACTTTTTTTTTTGTGCGGACTTGTGGTTATGCCGACGTTTCGGTGGTGGGGGGCACGGGCCCTGCCCTGAAATGAACAACGTTTGTACGATTTCACGGGGGGTGGGGGGGGGATCGCAGCGGTGCATACATTTTGACATCTCGAAAACGTCCCCGCTCGCTCTGTGCGACGGTATCTCAAGAAGAAGAGGAGCGGCGGGGGGGGGGGGGGGCTAGAGAAGCAAAACAACAAAAACCGCAGCGTACAAAAAAAAATATTAATAACAAAAAGGTCCCTTCCGGACATTTGCGCGCGTTCACGAGGAGCAAGGCGTGCGCACAATGACGCGCGTCGGTGTGCCGCTCGCAAACAATTGGCAGCGGGTCGAGAGTCGAGGTCGACTTCACACTGGACATTCGGGCACTCGCATCAAACGTGTTGCGACGTGTTACTTTGCCACCACCTCGGGTCACCCACGAAATTAACCCGCGGGCAACGTGGGTGGCACCGAGCGTTCGGACAGGTGGCGCGTTACGCGATTGGAGCGTGAGCGACGATTTTACTTTCGGAGCCCTCGGCCGCCCACACCTCGATCGGTCCCTGCCAGTTGTTAATCGATGTGAATTTCACCCTGCCACCCCATCGTGATGTCACCGAGGTGGCAATTACGCTCTGTGCGTTCAAAGATCCAGTGTGAATCCACCGCGAGCGCGAGTAGCGTTACTCGTGGGTTGCGTGCATGCGTGCGTGCGTTTACACAACCGCTACACTCGTATACCCAATCTTCGTCGCCAAAAAACACAGGCACACACATGCACAACAACCGCACTTTGCATACGCAATCGTTACATTCATTCGCAGGCGCAGACAGACACGTCCGCAGCAGTTTTACTCAAACATGGGGGCAGCATACTCAGGCGGCCTCACGGGAAAGACGCACACAGGCACATCTGCACACACACGCGCAGACACTGATATGCAAACGATTTCGTGCGGACGCACTTTGCTGTCGGCAAGCCTGGTTGATTTGTGTGCGGAACATCTGGGCCAAAATTAAGATCGTTTATGAAATGTTCATGGATAAACTCCTTGCTAAATTAATGGACCGATATTTCGTCTCTGGCTCATCACCATGATCATCGCCATGATCATCGCCAGCTTTTGGCCGATCCACTGCTGGATGAAGGCCTCCCCCCAAAGTCGCCGCAATATCTGACGATCCTGCGATCGACCCGGCATTGATTTCATCGCTCCATCTTCTCGGTGGACGTCCTCTCTGGGTCGCGTTCCACGCCTCGGCTGCCACTCCCGTCGTGACTCTTCGACGATAAAGTTTTACGGATATTTATTTTCATTCAAAAGCAAATTATATATTTCCTATACGTCAGGCATGAACGAAACAACTTTAAAGGGTAGGTTCAAACTCAAAACTATTAACACATTTTTTTTTATTTTACCAGGTAAGGCCCACTGAGCTGTATGGCTCTACAATTGATAGCTCAACAAAGTGGCTCAAATCGTGGAAATATATAGCGGCCAAATACCCTAAATGAACGTCCCTAAATGTGGAGGGAGAAACTGGAGGACCAGGAGAAAAATCCACTCGACCACAGGGAGAGAGACACGCAGACTCCAAATATACAGCGTCAGGGTCGGGATCGAACCATTGATCTCATGTATACCGGGCGAGGTAGTTAACATCTCGCCACCATGGTGCCCACACACACAAAGAGCCAGCCAGTGGGAGGAAGTGCCGTGGGGAACTAAATGCATCAAGCTTTGCCAAGAGGGGGGGGTAGAGGGTCGTGGGACACTCGTACAAGCAGCATGTGCATGCGCTGGCAGTCATCCACTGCGACCAGAAAGGCATGTGTGCAACGCAGCCTCGCGCGCCACTTCAACAGCTCTTTCATACTTAGGGATCGATCCATGCGTCGGAGGACAGTGGCAGAACCACGCCAACGTCTCCATTTACCAACGGTCGGGCAAAAAAGAAAACGCCAAGGTGTGTTTTAGTTTCACTGGAACGTGAATCTGCTATTCTCGCTCCCACCCTCCCCACGTGGTCGGTAACGTGGGGCCCCGACCACGCGCAGCCTCAGGAACGCAACGGCCTCGTGACCCCCATGGGCATTGCGCGCACACCGAGCGGGCCTGCAAACGAGCCCACGAGCAGCTCCGAACACAAACGGGCACGTCACCCTCCCCACCCTCACCGCCCCCCTCCACTCGAAGACACAAACAGCGGTGCTACGAACAGAACGTGCGTGCGTGCGTACGCGAAACCCCCCAAACACATGCATGGTGTGGACAGGGAGGGGACTTATATTTGTGAATGTGTTTTGGACGGTGGGGGGGGCAGCTGGTGAATATTGTTTGTTATCGGGGGTTGTGGTGGCTTCCAAAAGGAATCTCTGGTCCTGGTGAATCACGACTGTTGTCCATATTATCAGCCCGTTAAACAATCCTCCAAATTGCAAACGGCAGTGGTTGGATAAAAAAAAAATTTGGGCAACCGCAGTGAACAACGTTGAACTCGCAATGCTGCATTCACAGCCGCGGGGGGGGGGGGGGGGGGCCGGGGGGCTGTGACCAACGAAACGTTGCCGCTGGCGGAGGTCGCGATTCGTTAGCTACGTCGCAGCCGCTCTGAACGACTCTGGGATCGACGCTGGTCGTGGTGGGGGTTTTACCGTCGCGTTGAACGGCAGCTCTGGTCGAACATCCGCGGTTTTAATGCGCCCCCCCCCCCCCCACCTTGTTAACAATGCTAAAGTTGGGTACACGTGAATAATGAAAGGCCCGCTGTTTGTGTGTGTTTATTCTACCCCTTTAAATGAAGCCGAATGTCCAATTAACGTATCAACATGCCGGCGTACTAATGAAATGCTTGGTTAAATTTAGCCGCCGGTGAGAGTGGCGATCGTGGTCAGTGATGGCGCGAGCGGCGCGGTGATGCCGGATCTACGTGGTAACCGCATCACCGGTGACCCCAAATCTTCTGGGGCTGCGACGCGCGTCGTCGCACCGAGGTCAACTGAACTAAGAGGTCAATTGGGCTCGTTCTTCTCCCACTCACACGCTTCCTCCCTTCAAGACGATAAAGGAGATAAAGGTAACGGTACAGTCATACAAGTTATTGCTTGCACCACTGCTGTGCTGGTGACCTCCGGTCATCCTCGTAGAAGCAGCAGCAGCGGCGGAATTTGGCTGGCCATCATACAAAGACGGTCACCTCATCGCGCGCTTTCAGATGCGCTTCTGCGGCCGTCTGGAACGCTCTTCCTTACGATATTAGGAAGCCACTGGAGCTATGCCCTTTTAAATCATCTCGACTGAAAACTAATTTCTGTAGAACTGTTTGCTGTTGTGTTTAGTTTGTGGTCCTTCCCCCCGCACCTCTGATTAGCACGGTTGGCTACATACGGTGCGAAAAAAGTTAAACGTGGGGGGGGGGCAATCGTCTCCTGTCTAGAGTCTGCAGCTCCAAGTCAGCGGTGTACACTCCACATTCCTATGGTAGGGACGAGTCTAACCATAGGATGACCACTCTAACGGGTTGCTACAAAGAACAAAAGTACAAATAAGCACAACTCCGCTTGGTCTCATCTCCCCATTCAGATGCAGTCCCAAGTCCATCGGCCGATTGGCTTTCCAGACCAAATCTTATCCAGTAGCACTACGTTTAAGCAAAGACAACTCTGGGCTAGTTTCGACCCGCTCGGTCTCATCAGCAGGGTCAGGCTTATTAAACTGCTGGAGGTTACCAGATGTGATTGGCAAGGGCACTCTGTCTAAACCATGGGACCCTGTTAAATGCGAAAATCAATGTTGTATCCGCCGAACTCATTCTGCACCGCTGGGACGCCACGAGCGCAAGAGCACAGAGAAGCAGAACGCCACTCCAGGTCTCCACACACAAAGTACTCTCTAGTGCCTGGTTCATAGCGCAGTGGTGCTAACCACTACACTCCCACTCCCCACGCAGTGAGCACGCACACGCACACGTACGCACACACATGCATCCTTACACCACGGACACGCGCGTCCAAACACCACGCACACAAGCATCAATAGACCACGCACACACTCATCCGTACACCACACACACACTCGTCCGTACACCACACACACACGCAACCGTACATCACTCTCTGGGCTTCATGCGACCTTTTCAGCTTACGACGGAAGAGACCTTTTTGTAACTTCACACCCTTTTCATTTTGACACAGAAAAAGAAAAATTTCAAATTATATTTAAATTACTGGCTTCATTTTCTTCTTCAGGGTAGGAAGTGGGGGGGCAGCAGTGGGGCGGTACAAGCATTGTTTTCACTGGCAGCCACGAAGGTCCAGGTTTGGGCTCTCATTTGCACGCTCCCACCACTCCCGGCTGGGCAAATTCACACTTCCCGCGTGGAGGAGCGGGTTTTCACCCAGAAATTGCCAGGCTTGGTCTGAAATTAAGAAAACGGACCTTCCGATCGTGGCAATGCCAACACTGAGGAATTCAAATGCAGCTTTCGAGCGCCGTTGGTCCAATCCACGGAAAGCAAACGCTCGGCAGTGGCACTTGCCCCAAAGATGCAGCGATCCTCTGCCACACACACTTTGTCCATCTACTCCGGGTATTTATTGCAGCGACATGGTCAGTTCCAGAGCCAGGTTTTCACGGCTGCTGTGTTTGCTGCTGCTGCTGATGTCGTCGTCGTCGCCGTCTTGCCCACCGTCGCTGCGGCCGGCCCGTCTGGCGCGTGCGCGAGCGAGCAAAGAGTCCCGGGGCTCTATAAGATGAAGCCGTAGCAGATGTAACGCAGGAGGCTGAACCACATGTAGCCGGAGAGAAAGCACCACAGCTGACACATGAGCAGCCACCAGGGGTCGAGGACCATGGCTCGCGATGGGGCATCCCCGGTCTCACCGGCTTGCGCGGGGAACGCTCCTGCAAGATGGACGGGAGGCAGCACACGCGCCCAGACGATCGCTTGGTTAGACGGGTACACGGCGCTCGCGCACACGTAACAACGTCACTTGCGTGGAGACAGAATGTTCATTTAAAACTTTGTGACGCGCCCACCGTGCCAGTCATTTGCTCGCTCTCGTGCGGACAGAGCGAGAGGAAGGGAGAGCGACTACGAGGCGGAACCACGGACGAGCGGGAAAGGCAGCAGACACGCGCGGTGAGCCGGCGCCAATTATTGCCCAAGCTACGTGGTCCTCGGTGTTGTCGGGAAATGAACGAGTGCACACATGTGAGAGGAGACCCAAGCAGCCAGAGAAAACCCACGCTGTGCGAGGGGGACACGCTCTCTTGGAGGCGATTTGTGCACTCCTGAGGTCACTTTTGTTGAACCGTTGGTTGTTTGCAGCTCATAAGACCGATAAACGCTGCAATAGCCAAATACAAGTACAGTAAAACCTTGGATTGCAAGTAACTTGGTCTGCGAGTGTTTTGCAAGACGAGCACATTTTTTCAATAAATATTAATTTGATAAACGAGCGAGGTCTTGCAATACGAGTAGTGTAGTACGCACAGTATACGCTTTGTCTGCGGGATTGTGGGTAATCGTCTCCCATACTCGGTCTCAGTCGGCGTGCCTCACTCGTATAATCAACATCCGTGCGAGCGTATACTGTTTACTATAGTGTTGTGACCACGAGTGTGTGCGTAAAGCATTTTTTAAATTTTGTGTCCAAGTGTAGTAACTGTTCTTTAGTAACTGTACTGCAAGTGAAAGTCGTCCTACACAATAACCCTCCTCTCCTCTCTCTCGTCTCCCTCACACCAGCCACGATTGCATTTAATTAATACATTTGATTACTTTATATTAAATAAAAAATAATAATAATAAAATATAAAAAAGGTATTTTGTATTAATCATTTTTATATGAATACAGTATTTTTGGGTTGGGGAACGAATCATCTGAGTTGCCATTATTTCTTATGGGGAAATTCGCTTTGATACACGAGTGCTTTGGATTACAAACACGTTTCCGGAACGAATTATGCTCACAATCCAAGGTTTTACTGTATACACGAAACAAGGGAAGGCATTTAATGCAAACGTAAAAAAATATTATTATTTACTTGAATGAACATCAACACAGGAAACGTACATTAATCTTTCAGAAATGTTTTGTTGCATATAAACACCATATCCGTTTAATTATTTACTTATTGGCTGCAAATGCATTTCCCGATGAGGCAGCGGAAGCCCCCCTCCCTTGCGGTGACCTCGTTCCCATCGGACACAGCGCACACGCAGCACCGTTGCGCGCGTGTGCGACAGTGCCGTGGCGTTCACGCCGGAGTTCAACGACGTGGAAGCGCAGGAATCGACGTGAGCGGTGGCGACGCTCACCACGGCTATCGTGACTGCTGTACTTGGAGGCTGTATGCATTTAAATCAATTTGTGATTTTATTCCGCCATCTTCAGGTGATTGTACCGCTTGGTTAATTCGTCCCTTCCTTTTGAGTAATTTTATTATTTTACGAGCGTTTTCCAACATTTGCGTTTCTAAATGTTTTATCTTAAAATGTTTTATCGTAAACATTTTTATCTTAAAATGTTTGATCTGAAAATGCGTGAAGTGGTTTTGGACATCGTGGTATCAAAGGCACCCTATAAATAAAATATGTCATTATTATCATTAGTAGAATTATGAAATTTACATGTCCTAGTCTCGACTACACTGAAGTCAAGATCAGCAACACTCCGGGCACGGCTGGTTGTTGTTTTTGTGAAAGAATCCGTGTGCCCTCGAGGGCTTTAAACGTGACCTGAACATGACCCGAACCGCTCATCTGAGGCCACTTCTGCCGTACATTAAGCCAGCGGCGTCGCCGCGCTTGATCTCGACTGGGATTAGGCTGCCAGGGCCCATAATGGTGCTTAACGGCCAGCCACACCCCGCTGCTGTGGGGGAGTATACTCTTAGGTTTTTTCGGTAAAGTCACGTAGGTAAAAAATCTAATTAAAAGTTAATAAAAGTAATAATGGAAATAAAATAAAATAATAAATCACGACGTTTCGGAGGCAACACAAGTCTCCGTCATCAGGTGGGACCGTCACAGCTAAAATTACTGCATCAAGTGATTATATTATTTTATTTCCATTATTACTTTTATTAACTTATAATTTTATTTTTTACCTACGTGACTTTACCGAAAAAAACCTAAGAGTATGAATCCTTGCAGTCACGAAAGCTTCAAATCTAGCTGTGGGGGAGGCTTCGTTCGCTCCTGATGAATTTGTATTTGATAAAATTTGACATTTTAGGGGAAGAGGAATTGGTTCTTGCAGCTGTTGCTGCTATCCAGTCTCGACCGAAAGCTGTCCTTGGATCACGCAGCTTGTCTGTACTCTGCTCATATACTCTTGGGACGATTATGATCAGTGGCCACACTTTAATGGCATTACTATAAACACGTGGACTAACACCTGTTCCAGCTGAACGGGGATAAAGCGTTGCCCCATCAAACGCGTGGGTTTATCTTCAGGTGCTCCAATTTCCTCCCACGTGAAAATGCTCTTATAGGGGACTGCAGAGCTTGGGCAAGAGTTGGCACCGGCGTACCACCTGACTGCCTCGTTCTCTCTCTTTGAGAGCGAGCGGATATCGTGCGGTGCGTTACCGGTCGTATAGAAGTAGTCGAGGAGGTGCTCCTTCTCAATGAAGCGCTGGTACATCCACTTGGTGAGGGCCTCCATCTCAAGCGGGACCTCGCTCACCGGGTAAAGCCTGGGCAACGGCAACAGCAAAGCAGCAGCAGATTTTTTAAACGACAACGTAGATTTAACCTTTTAAACTATTTTACAAACGATTTTTTTAAATTTATCCAGGTAAGGCCCACTGAGCTATGTAGCTCTTTTTCGGAAGCGACCTGGCCCTCACAAATGATAGCTCAAGCAAAGTGGCGCATCATAACGTGGAAATGTACAGCAGCCAAATACTCTAAAAGCTAAATGTAGAGGAAAAAAACGATCCTGCTATCGACCCGGCATTGATTTCATCGCTCCATCTTCTCGGTGGACGTCCTCTCTCGGTCGCGCTCCACTCCTCGGCTGCCACTCCCATCGTGACTCTTCGACGATAAAGTTTTACAAATATTTGTTGATTCAAAAGCAAATTATCTATTTCCTATACATCAGGCATGAACAAAACGGAACTTTAAAGGGTAGGTTCAAACTCAAAAAGATTAACACATTTTTTTTTTCCCAGGAAAGGCCCCACTTAGCTATACGGCTCGTTTTCTGAAGCGACCTGGCTACAAATGACAGCTCAACAAAAGTGGCTTATCGCGCGGAGATTTATAGCGGCCAAATACTCTAAACGCATGTTCCTAAATGTGGAGGGGAAAACCGGGAGGACCTGGAGAAAAATCCACACGACCACGGAGAGAGAGACATGCAAACTCCAAATATACAGGCGTCAGGGTTGGGATAAAATCCCCGACCTCCTGTATACTAGGCGAGGTAGTTAACATCTCGCCACTGCGGCGCCCTTTCCTCGAGACCCCAAATCACACCGGGATAGCAGCAGGAGACGCGGTGGATGCAGACTGCGTATTGCAGGCATACCCTGGATTACGCCCAGGATGCATTCCGGAAGCCACAACGCAAATTGTAAGTAGCAAAGCGATGGGACGGTGGATCGTAACATGGTACGGAACCTAAACAGGATGCTCAGTCACCCATTGCGCATCTATACTGTGCAACCATCAGTGTGTATATTATTGATATTTTTACGTTTATTTTGAACTTCTTTTGCACATACGTAGCCTACTGTACTATATTATTATTAGTTTATCATACCGCGGTGTGCAAAAACGGCATCGGGTGTCGGTAAGTTGAGGAGGTTACGGACAAAGTGCGCAAAACGTGGAGGGCGTGTATAAATCGGGGTGTTACTGTGTTTGCAACGGGAAAGCAAATGCCGCTCCACGTAGCAGGGATTTTTTTTTACTCAACCAAATATAAAGTTTAATATTTCACTGAATGGATAGCTGTTCACCGGAGTTTGCACGGACTCACTGGTAGAAATGCCGCAGCTGTTTGGCGCACACTGTGGAGGAGCGTTACTGTGACACGCATTGGTATAAATACACGAGTTAAATGCTTTGGATACAGAACTTGTAAGAGGAGACCCGCGTATACATACCACGGCCTGACTACTAAATCACGGAAAAGAGGGTTCGTATTGCGTTTATTACAACACAGGTCGTGACTACAAACACCGGTGATTCTCAAACTTTGTTTGCACCGCAGACCGTTGAGCTGATGCAAACATTTCCCATGGACCACCACCCAGCCCCGCACCCCTGGCGATAAAACACATTCACATCTCTCTCTAAATACCAACAGGACAACATTCATATCACCGGGACAAAAACAAGTAATGCTTTTTTTTAGGGGGGGGGAAGGGGGGAAAGGGATATTTATATCTTAGGGTTAGGGTAGATTAATCAGGGTAGATTAATCAGGGTAGTTTACCCAACTTTATCTGTAAATAAAATACAGTAAAACCTTGGATTGCGAGCATAATTCGTTCCGGAAACGTGTTTGTAATCCAAAGCACTCGTATATCAGTTGTGATCACGTGACGCTCGGCAGACAAAGCGTACACACGTACTACTCGTATTGCAAGACCTCACTCGTTTATCAAATTAAAATTTATTTAAAAACTTTGCTCGTCTTGCAAAACACTCGCAGACCAAGTTACTCGCAACCCAAGGTTTTACTGTATCACGAATAAATATGCATTAATGTCCATAACAAAAGGCATGGTAAACGTTGTCATTATTGTGCGGATCAAGCTGCGTTAGCATCACAGCCCCGCGCACCACCTGGAGGATCGTCGCCAACTGCTGGTGATGGTGGAACCGGGGACCACGGTCTGAGAACCGCTGACCTAAATGAAGAAAAACTAGAAACTAAAACTAAGGCTTTACATTTTTATAGATACATTTGACGTTATTAATAAAACATAAGTGAGGATAAAAATAATTCTCATGACCGAATCTAGATATGTTTGCTACAGTCACGCTCACGTTGTCTGCTATCTTTGGGAACGATTGAATTAGTCGTTGAAACACTTAGGCCCCATTAAGAGTGGAGGTGCTGCAGTGGCACAGCGGATAACGCACCACACCATCAATCCCACCAGCCGAGTTCGATTGCCAGTCACAGCTCACACCAGTGGCGAACGATATCTGAATAAGTCCCGTCCTCCCCACCCCCTTTACCAGCGTGCACTGACCAACATGGTGAAGTATGGTCACACAGCCCAGCCCCCACCCCCCACCCCCACAACTAAAGGTGATGTGGGGAAGCTTTCATCCAGCAGTGGATTGACAAAAATCCAACAATACCATACAATCTAGTTTTATATAAAAGTCTCAGTTCAGCTGTATCTCAACAGATTTTGATTGCCAAATCCTCATGCGTGACAACGGATATCATATTCCTGAAGAAAAACTAAGTCTTGAGACTCAGTGATGCTTCCTTGGGTAATAATTGGCATTATTATAATAAGTGCCATGATCTCAAAGACTTAAAAATGTAGGTCAATGAGTGGGAAGCTCTGGCAAGTGGGAGAGGAAGACTGGTGTGGCATGGGACCAGATGGTATCAGCAGCTCCTATTGGCACAGTTGGTGGCTACGTACGGTGCGAAAGAAGTTCAACAAACAGTACACTCACACGTACAAACAGCAGCTCCGTGTACGTGCGCAGTGCTGCTTGCAGCCTCCTCAGTCACAAAGTCAGCAGCCACCACCAACACCAATAGCCGCCAATCACCACTAAGTGACGGTGATGTCACCACGGCGCCTGTGCCAGGCTAGGTGCACTTTACGATCACGTGAAGTGTCGAAGGCTCGCTGACAGGAGGTCTCGACAGACCCAGCAAGGCCGTGGGTTGGCTGACTGAGATGACCAGTACATGCACCAGCTGTCCCCCTACTGTGCCAACTCGCTGCATTTTAGCCGCCCCGGCGCTCCGCTCATTGTGAGCATCGCTCCTAGGTACTCAAAAACTGTAAAGGTTGTGGATTCACTCTTCAACACACCGGTGGGCTAAAGTAGTGAACCATTTGTCTTTTGTCAACGTGACACTTTTTTGCTGATTGGCCGTGTCGGGTGGTGGAGGGTTAAGACACATTTATAAATAACGCGCTCTAACTCAAAAACGTTTATTATGAATTATATGGTCGCGAAAGCCTACGTGTTAAACTCCTCTGCCCTCCTTGTTGCTGGAGGGTGACTGCCTCCAACTGCTCAGTAGCAGCGTCCTTCACGAACCTCTCCCAGCCATCACCACCACAGTTAATCACTGCTCCAACTGGCTCAGGCCGTTCCACAACTGGGCCTTTTCAAGTCATTACAGGGAAGCGTTCGAATCGTTAAAATCTTCTCAAACATAATTTGTAAAGCTGAAAAACCCATCATGCCATGGATGGTATTGTGATTCTTATCATCATAATTTAATCGACAGGAACCACACACTGCTGGTGTTGCTCTGTTGCCTGCATCAATGAGAGTTGTTTTCCAGTCAAGGGTCAAAGTTGAAATAATGATCGTTTGTAAAATAGGCTTTGGGAATAAAATGTCAAGTGAATTAGTATGAAATGAACATATCGCCGGATGAATATTGAACGAATAAAAACGATACAAAGTTTACATACGAATATCATCTAAAAATCCAACACAGATCCCAGGCTCACATCTTAAGCACGAGTAAGAGAACTTCAACAGAAGGCAACCGCCTACACACCATGCACAACAGCCCTGTAACGGAGGATAACCTCCCCGGTTATTTACAACTAGGGAAATACACATCACCAAACATGGCGCATTCAAACAGATTCAGCTCGTAAGACACACACAGAATATGCGGCCTAAGGGAACACGAGTGAATAAAATATCACTTTTTTTCTATTAAAACCACAGGTATGTTTACATCAAAACCGACATCTTCTGACCGAATAAGCTTTCCCTCATGACTGTTTATTAAGCTCAACAAACTAAAACGATTGTACTTGCCAATGAAAGACACAAATGCTTGACATTAACTTGAACATTAGCCTAAACACATTAAAGAGGACAACAAAAGAAACACAAAAAGCCGTTCTAAAGAAATGAGTCTTCAATCTCGACGATTTAAAAGTGCACAGCTCCAGTGGCTTCCAATATCGGAAGGAAGAGCGTTCCAGACGGCCACAGAAGCGCATCTGAAAGTTGCGCAATACGGTGACCGTCTTTGTTTGATGGCGAGCCAAAAAATGCGATGGTCAAACAAAATCCATCCAATTCCAAATTGTACCGAATCTTGGGAAATGCCATGAGGGATTGAGCTCCCCCGTAGACCACTGGTGTCACGCGGGACACCACACCAAGCGATGCCACCAAACCTACTGGTAAAAAAACGCTTCGACGTTCCTTCTCGACAAACAGACGAACAGTCGACGTGCGTGGCGAGGACGGCCGGCACATACGCGAGCGGCTGGGGTCTGACCTGTAGTGCACGTGCGTGGTTATCGGGGGCCGGTAGCCGAGAACCCACGTCTGGATGTCCATGGGATCCGCATTGGGGTACGCGATGGTCACGTCGATCACCCACCGCATGCCGGCCTCCGTCGCGCCTGAGGGGACAGCGACAACAGCACCTCAAGGCCCCGCACATCGGCTCCACGCGCGCTACGCAAACGAGTCTCCACCGTAACAGCAGCAGCAGTAGCAGCGACAAAGACAGCAGCAGCGACAGCGACAGCCGCCGTTCGCCACCAAGTGGCGGTTGACGTCTCCACGGTACCTGTGACACGCCCAGCACGTGAAGTGTCGAAGGGTTGACTAAACGAGGTGACTGGCTTCCACGTGGCCGGGACCAACACCAGTACTCGTCAGGGAATTCAAATTCGAGGTGTCTAATTTTTAGTCAGTTCCACTTTTTAGTGAAACTATATTTGTTATTGGTGGGTCAATTTCACAGAGCGATAGCGTACATCCGCAGTCAGCTCTTGATTATCAGGGGTAATAGTGGGGGGGAGGAGTTGCCGTCGTGGTCAGATGTTATCGCCCTCGCCTGGTATGCAGGAGGTCGTGGATTTTGATCCCGACCCTGATGCTTGCTGTATATTTGAAGTTTGCATGTTCTCCCCATGGTCGCGTGGATTTTCTCCGGGTCCTCCGGTTTTCCCCTCCACATTTAAAATCAACGCGCGTTTAGAGAATTTGGCTGCTATACATTTCCACGTGCTCAGCCACTTCGTTGAGCTATCATTTGTGGCCACGTCGCGTCTGAAAAATAGCTACATAGCTCAGTGGGCCTTTAGCTGGTAAAATAAAAACAGTTTAGTTTCAGTTTAGGAGGATAAAACAGAAAGGCGGATATCGCACAACACCTGTACATTCGGCGACGTCATCGAAATTAGCGTCTGCCTACGTAGAATAGAGTGGCGAAGACGTCGGGTGCATGGCTTGTTGGAGCAATCGGATCGCTTGTCTAGAAATGTTTGCGGTGACATCGACACCGAGTCACGAACAAGCCCCGACACGGGTGAGAAGCACTGAACGCTTTGCACAGTTAACCGATCGACGCACGGATCATCAAGAGTTACGTTTACGTAGCTGTTATTATTGTTACGGTTGCACTTGTTAAACCTGGCAAAAGTCTCACCCACTCTTTTTCCACTGACAAGTTGTCACAGTAGGGGGCGATGTTGCTGCTCTGTTTTATCCCTACTACTGAGTCGAAAGTTGCGCGTAATCTTCCAGCATTGGGATGTTTGGCCGATAACAATGACATTGTGTGGAGAGAACCAGAACGCCCCGGAGGAGCCCCGGACAAAACGAAGGGAGAACAGAAGGACACCAGTCGGGATTCCAACCCCATCGACTTCTTGCAGTGAGGGTAACAACTGCCCCACCTTGATTAGGTGAATGAATATAATTGTCCACAGTAATTTATTTCTCGCGATTTAAAATCAACAACACCATCCGAATATAACCAGGAATACTTAAAAAAAAACTTTTAAATATCTTTACGTTGAGAGGATACAATTAAGTGTAATTTATTATGAGATCGAGAGACTGTGGTGAAATGGTCAGCGCACTGGACTTGCAATCCCCAGTTGTCCGGTTCAATCTCCCGGTGCGGCAGTTGAAACAAAGTTTCCGAAATCCCCCCCCCGAGCCTTCACCCAGCGAGCAGTGTAGATGCGTGGAGCACAGCTTACAATCGATTGGCAGGTTGCGCACGGTTGAGTTAAACCGTGGGTACTTCCACCCCTTCCAAGACGTACTGGGGCCAGCTTGGAAGAGTTTTTCCAAAATACCCTGGGGGGGGGGGGGGGTGGCTGGGAGGGGAAGGGGGGGCTTTCTCGAGCTCCCTGGAGTGGAGGCGCTTCCACCAGGATTGGCGGCGAGCTGGGACCTGCAGGGCCGCACCGCTGCTCGTAACGAATCGCCTCATTGTCACCACCTTCACACCCCGATCAGTTCTCAAAAACGTGCAATTCCAGCAAAAGCTATCGGCGTTCCTTCGCTGCCGCGGTGCCCTGCCGCCCCCCCCCCCCCCCTCCCGAGGGGGCTCTAGGCAGTCGGCCGTACCCCGAGCATCGCCGCGGGCGCCGTCCTTGGGCGTCTCCCACGCGCCCCCGTTGAGGCAGGAGCTAGCGGGCGTCGCGCCCTGCGCCGCCGCCGCCGCCGCGGGGCGCGGCCGCGAGAGCGTGTGCAGCACGGCGTGGGCAGCGCCCAGCCGCGGCAGCGTGACGTGGCGCAGCGCGGGCAGGCCGAGGCGCGTGGCGTAGCGCTGGCTCGTCTCGCGTCGCTTGCGTAGGAAGCCGCCCTCGGGGAAGAGGACGAGCCAGCGGCGCGCGCGGGGCCTGAACACGCGGCCCAGGTGGTGCCGCAGTAGCTCCACTTGGTGCTCGCGGTGCGCCTTGCCCTGCGGGGGAGGGACGGGCAGGCAACAGAGCAACACTAGCAGTGTGTGGTTCCTGTCGATTCAATTATGATGATAAGAATCACAATAACATCCATGGCATGTGTTTGTCAGCGGTAGATGATGGGTTTTTCAGCTTTACACATTTATGTTCGAGAAGATTTTAACGATTCGAACGCTTCCCTGTAATGACTCGAAACAATCGTTACTGGACCGATGTATACACCATAATATTTAAACTTGTACGTATGTTGAATTTCTTTCGCACCGTACGTAGCCAACCATGCCAATAAAGTTGGCGACGTCCTAATTGGCGTTTGCCACTACCGCCGCACCATCCGCTCGCTCTCGTAGAGAGAGAGAGAGGACGGCTTAGAGGCGCGAGGAGGAACCACACACAAGCGGCATGGCAGCCGCGCGGTGAGCCGCGCCAACATGTGCCCAAGCTCTGCAGTCCTCTCTATGTTCAAGTGTTATCGGCCAATTTCACGTGGGAGGAAATCGGGTGCCATGTCGTTTGCTTAAAAGCCTCAGCAACTCGGAAGTGCCCTATAACACCTCATATCGCAAACGTTAGAAGGGCACCCCCACTGGCAGCTGTCCCTGTGCAACAAAAGGCGACGTAGCACCGGCCTGCAAGCGAGCATCAGTCTGCCGTGAGGCGGACGGCGACTGCTGCCGTGTGTAATCCCTGTCGAGTACTTTTTTTATATCTGGCGAATTTGGACCATGATGAAGACACACAATGGGTTCCTCTTTTCGACTGACATCATGCATTCTTAAAATGTTTATAGCGCATATTTTATGGTCACTGCACGCGAAGTGTTAACATTGCCCAAGCACATCTCAGAATCGCATACAGCCAGCACTGACACAGCAACTGATAAAAAAACACGATTTCTGAGCATGGACCCCAACAAACAACACTACCACAGGGAGTGTTGTTTGTTGTCTATTACACAGGTGTTGTCTATTATACAGGTGTAATAGATAATAATTTATCGGTTTCTTTAATTGGGTGAGTTTGCAAGAATGCAAGAAAAGATAGGATGGGAGGGAAATCCCACGTCACAATCAAGATCTGTCCCTTCTCTATCACACGCACACACGCTATCGGTGTGCAACAGTGGTCACCCAGAAGGAGCGTAGAACGACGGCTCAATGCACGATTCACAAATACCAAGGCAGTGGCCACGTTAGACCGATACACCACTCCGACACCACTCCGTTTCTCCTGACGCAATCATCTGGCTCAACTACCTCATGTAAAATCAGTTGTGGCTGTACATCAATAATCAGCCTGACGAAGAAGGCAACGTGACAAACTCGGCACCATGTGTGCGTGTGCTCTATATCAGGCCTTTGCCTGGCTATTCTGCTAAAGCTCCAGATAGTTGAGATAAGGGCTTCAAACACCCACGCCTCGCTCCCAGGACCAGTGGGAGCCATGCACAACACTGTGATGCCACTTCATTTATTTAAAGGTTATCAAAAAGTCATATCCATTGCCACACAGTCACTCTTAATCGCCCGTCATAAGTTGTCTTAACAGAGATCAAACACTTAAAGCTTTCGTGACTGCAGGAATTCATGTTCTTTGGGCCTTTCAATAAAGTCACTGGTAGATCGGTTCAAAAAAAATAACAAAAAAAAATAACAAAAAAAACTACGACGTTTCGATCGCAACAAAAACGTGCGGTGAGGTCGATGGCTGGGGAGGCACTGGCTCGTGTCAGAGGGAGATTCACACACCGAGGGGGGCGTGGCCTCACTGAGGGGGCGTGTCCTCACTGTTAGAGACGTCCCCCTCAGTGAGGCAGATGTGATAGCTGCCTCCCCTGGTGCTTTTTCATTTCAGTTTCATGACGAAACCAGCGAACCTAAATATCTTTAAACACACACGTGAAATGAGTTACCTGGAGTATGGAAGGCGAGGACATGAAACGAAGGAGTATACAAACATTACATTGGTGACATACTGAGATAGTAACAGGCACGCGCTTATTGCCCGCGCTCCATCCAGTTACTGAGGGGTTGCGCAATCAGAGGGGAGGCTGAGCTCGTCGCTGCCTCACCTCTCGTCTCTTCCTGTATTTGCAGCGGAGCTCCGCAAATGTGGCGATTTTTACTATAAATGTATTGGAATCGTACAGAAATGAAATTTATAACACAAATCAGTGGAAAAATCTTAATGTTTATTTTATTGGATTATTCTTTTTTTTTTACTTTTCGTCACAGCTATTTTCATTGGAGTATAACAGGTGAGGCTCTGCCTCCCCGGCCTCCCCTGACCGCACGTCCCTGCTCTCTACATGACTTTACCAAAAGACCCAAAGAATAGAGATCAAACAGTCTGTGTCACAACCATCTTGCGCAGTGCTCATCCCTGTGTCGTGAAACAGGAGTGGTAATTCCACATTCCTATGGCAGTGACCAATCTCTCTCTTAACACTACTTACTTTTAAGTACTACTGACTTTTCAATAGGTGGTCATCATCACGCAGCACTCATCCCCCCCTCCACCCAGGGGAAAATGAAAGCTGCATTTGGTCCGGCAGGAATTTTAAGAAACTCACCAAATGATTACTTACAGTCCTTCCACAACCAAAATCCCAATCCCATAATAATGAACAGCTAAATGTCCACCGTGGTCGGGTCGTACGCACCCCTGCAAAGATAAAATCAAACGCAACGTTTCCTCCGGCGGCTCCCCCCCCCCCCCCCCCCCCCATTCACGAGTTGAATCGAAGAGCGATGAGGGCAAGGGTACGACTCAGCTCGGTCACGGGTCCTATCGTTGATGCGAGCGCGCCTTTTAAGCAAGCTTGTGCCGTCAACGTTCGCTTACGTCTCGCCGGTCAAACCGCCTTTCGCAAATACGGGAGGAATAAAGATACCGAAGAAAAGCAGGCCGGACAGAAACAATCTCAAGCATAAGAGGTTTTGTTGGATTACATCGCGTAAATATAAATGTGTCGTTAAACCCGCCACCAACTGACACAGCCAATAAGTAAGGTTTGTCACGTAAACAAAACATGCCAATTCGTTACTAGTACAGCTCTAACCGGTGTGTTGGAGAGTAGACCCACAACATTTACAATTCGAGTAACGATGTTTAGCTGGTGATTCCAACATTAAGTTTCATCAGGCGACTTCAATAGGGGAGTAAAGCTGATGTCATCCATGTGAGCCTATCAGGTGCGAAGGCCAGAAAGGGGTGTAATGTAGTGGTACAAGCAGCTAACAAAGGTGAACTTGGTTTGCCGTTTTGCACATGCATTAGGAAAGATGTTGTCAATAGGGATGAAAAACAAAAAACAAAGATCCCCCGTATAGCCTGTAGGGGCAAGTGCTGTTAACGAGCACTTTTTAAGGCTGGAATGGTACACGACGGGGTGGGTGGCCAGCATCACGCCCCGACCGACTTTGTCTACCCAGTGTCGATGTTTACACACTGCACTAAATACTCATTTGAGGTTGAGTCGACCTAGGGGAGGCCCAGGACCAGTTCCAAAAATCGTCACTGGTGTTGGCCGTGAGCAGGAATCGAACTCGAGTCACCGGGTTCGTGGCGCACTAACCACTACACCATACACACACAGGCATCGACTTAAAATTAAATCCAAATCTACATCAACGATTCGTGAATTGAAACAGCCAAAAGGTGAACTGGGTTTTTGCTACTTTGGCCCAATGTTTCCATGGGAGCTGGAATTAAAAACACACGCACATCAAACTGGTGAACGGTAACCAAACGAGACAGACCCACAGGGGGAAGCTGAGAGCCACATTATATTGAGAGCCCCCCCCTCCACCCCAGTGATGCTAGAGTTAATTTGTATTCATATTCTTAGGTTTTTTCGCACCTTACCATAATAATAAAAAGTGGGCCATTCCTTCCCCCCCCCCCTCAACCATTATATATACGGAGTGGTATCTCCTGTAATCTCTCATTTACTTGATACAGCTGTCGGGCTGTGACGGTTCCACCTGAAGACGGAAGCTTGTGTTGCCTCCGAAACGTCGTGATTTTTATTTTATTTTACTTTTATTAATTTTAATGTTTTACCTACGTGACTTTACCGAAAAAACCTAAGAATATGAATCCTTGCAGTCACGAAAGCTTCAAATCTAGAATTAATTTGTTTTGCGCATCACAACAAAGGGATGCACATCGCCCGAATGGCCGAACCAGATTTTTTTTTCTCAGAGCCATCGGTCTCAACGCGTTCTCTTCAGAAATGATTAAGCTACGAGAGCCCGCCACTGACTGTACGCTCATTTGTGGAAAACGTTTACGGTATTATTCGGTGATGCCACTCCGTTGGCTGCGGTTGGCAAGCACGAAGAACCAAAAGCGTTGTCAACACACGCACCATTGACGCTGTGTCGCCTGAAAACATAAAATGTTAATAGCAGGCGACGTTTTAGGCAATTGCCCTTCTTCACTGGACATAAAGAGAGGGACAGTTAGACAAAGAGTTTTTCGGGGTTGGAGAGTGCAAAGTGATTAAGCATAAGAGGTTTTTTTTGGGGGTTGGATCGCGTAAATATAAATGTGTCCTACACTATGGGGACCTCATTTGCCAGTAAAAATATGATAATTGGTTCTTTACCCTTCTATCTGGCAACAAAACTGACACCTTTTTGCAAGGAGTCATGTTTGCATAGACCGCAATACCTGCAGTCATAAATACAAACAAAAGACATAACTCTCATATGAGACTAGGCTCGAAGGAAAGCTGTCTCGGGTGTGGACCAATCAACTTCAAGGACAGTGCACATTATCAGAGTTATGTCTTTTGTTTGTATTTATGACTGCAGGTATTGCGGTCTATGCAAACATGACTCCTTGCAAAAAGGTGTCAGTTTTGTTGCCAGATAGAAGGGTGGAGAACCAATTATATTATAAATGTGTCGTTAAACCCCACCACCGCCCGACACAGCCATTTATAGCAATGTTCGTCAGGTAAACTAGACATGCCAACATAACAGTCAACACC